CACTGATGATGTTACCTAGTTAGGGTAATGAAACGTCTGCAAGAAAACAACCAACCCAGAGATCACCAAGGACCCCTCACTTCAACCCTGAGCTATAAATGTTCTCCTTCGTTGGTACCATGGTGCCATCAACACTCTGCCAAGTTTTTATGGGCAGAGACCCCATCTTGATTTTCTGACCATGTTCATTTCCTGTCCCCCCCCCCCCCCCAAAAAATATGTCTCTTTGTTAGCCTTACCTGTGTTCTTCCTATCGTAGCTCTTAAACGTTATGGTGAGTTCTGACCTGTGGGCAAACAGCTGCTCCTTTAAAATTTGGTACGCTGACTCCTCCACTCGGCTGATCCTGGGAGAGAAAAAAAAAGACATTTCTGCCGTGTGAAATTGCACAAAAAACATTCAGTCCGTGCCCTTTCGGGATGACTGGAAAACTTTGAGAGGCCGATCACAGAACAGAATCATCTATTTTCATTGGAATAAATCAGATGGAATTAAGAGGGGGGGGGGACTTTGCCTGAATCACCATTTATTTTTCCTTACAAGTAGTCCTCAACATACAACGGGCCATCTAGCTATCTTTCTAAGTTATAACCGACCCTCAAAAGGGGTCCTTGGTGCTGTCTGACCTCGGTTGTTTTCTTGCAGATGTTTCATTACTCAAACTAGGTAACATCGTCTTTGTTAGTAGGGAATGGACTGGCTCTCCCTACTAATACTGATGATGTTAGCTAGCTGGGTAATGAAACGTCTGCAAGAAAACAACATAGTTTAGAGAGCACCAAGAACCCTACAGTTGTTTTCCTCCTCCTCCTCCTCCTCCTCCTGCCACACTCCCTTCTAACGCTGATGATGTTACCTAGCTGGGTAATGAAATGTCTGCAAGAAAACAGCCTAGCTTAAAGAGCACCAAGGACCCTACAGTTGTTCTCCTCTTCCTCCTCCTCCTCCTCCTCCTCCTCCTCCTCCCCCCCCTCCTCCTCCTCCTGCCACACTCCCTTCTAGCACTGATGATGTTATCTAGCTGGGTAATGAAATGTCTGCAAGAAAACAACCAAGCTCAGAGAGCACCAAGGACCCTCACTTCAACTTGAGCTACCAATATTCTCCTTTATTTCCAACCCCGAAAAAATATTTACAACCTGGATTCAAAGTGACTGAAAAAAGTGACTGATGATCCTGCAAGGGTCTATAAGAGTGAAAAATGGTCATCGGTCACTTTTTTCAGTGCCATTATAACGTCGAACGGTCACTAAACAAACGGTCTGTACTACAGTTCAAGGCCAACTTACGGGTTGCTGGTTTGGAACCCTGCCCAAAGTCCTTTCAGGAGTGGTTGGGGTTAGAGATGTAAAATTTCCAGAAATTTTGAAGCCATGAGGGAAAAAAATGTTTTTTCCCTGTTTTTTTTTCAGAAAAAAATAGAAATTTTGGAAAAAATTTGGGAAAAAAAGTTCACTTTTTTTGTAGTTTTACAAATTGCTTGAATAGAACAGAACAGAAAATGGGGAATAGAATAGAATAGAATAGAATAGAATAGAATAGAATAGAATAGAATAGAATAGAATAGAATAGAATAGATTCCACACTCCTTTTTTTTTTCCAATTTTTCCAGGAAAAAAAAGTTTTGGGAAAAAAAACAAAATGGAAAAACCCCTGTTTCCCCCCCCCCATTTTTCTGGTTTTTTTCCCAGGCCTTCCCATCTCTAGCTGGGGTACAACTGTCCGCAGTGCTGGCTGACCGTTGAGTTATGTTCATTTGACGGGATACTCCTTTGGTGGCTTGAAACTGGACCAAATGAGGTATGAGGTCAGGTCCCAGTTTGATGTAAGCACCCCGGTTACTGCCCACTGCATAATAGTTGGAAGCCGAAAATATGGTGATGACCTAGTCAAGACAAAACAGAGTACAACAGATTTAATAATAATAATAATGATAAAGTTGGAAGGGACCTTGGAGGTCATCTAGTCCAACCCCCTGCTCAGGCAGGAAACCCTATACCATTTCGGACAAATGGCTGTCCAGTCTCTTCTTAAAAACTTCCAGTGTTGGAGCATTCACCACTTCTGGAGGCAGGTTGTTCCACTGGTTAATTGTTCTAACTGTCAGGAAGTTTCTCCTTAGTTCTAGGTTGCTTCTCTCCTTGATTAGTTTCCACCCGTTGCTTCTTGTCCTGCCTTCAGGCGCTTTGGAGAATAGCTTGACTCCCTCTTCTTTGTGGCAGCCCCTGAGATATTGGAACACTGCTATCATGTCCCCCCTCCTTCTCTTCGTTAAACTAGATATTCCCAATTCCAGAAACCGTTCCTTATATGTTTTAGCCTCCAGTCCCCCTAATCATCTTTGTTGCTCTTCTCTGTACTCTTTCTAGAGTCTCAACATCTTTTTTTACATCGTGGTGACCAAAACTGGATGCAATATTCCAAGTGTGGCATTACCAAGGCATTGTAAAGTGGTATTAATACTTCACGTGATCTTGATTCTATCCCTCTGTTAATGCAGCCTAGAACTGTGTTGGTTTTTTTGGAAGCTGCAGCACACGGCTGGCTCATATTTAAATGATTGTCCAATAGGACTCCGCAATCCCTCTCACAGTTACTACTATTGAGCAAGGTACCCCCTATACTATACCTGTACATTTGGTTTTTCTTGCCTAAATGTAGAACCTTACTTTTTTCACCATTGAAGTTGGTGATTTACAGCAGTTCCCATGTTAAAGTCTCCAAAACCTACGTGTTCATCTTTGCTTTGCTTTAATCCACATTTGTAGGGGCGCGATGCTCACTGGTTAAAGACGCCAAGCTTGTCAGCTGGAAAGCTGACAGCCTAGGTTCAAGACCTGAGCGCCGCACAATGGGGTGAGCTCCCGTTCCTTGTTCCAGCTCCTGCCCACCTTGAAAGCATGCAGATGCGAGTAGATAAATGGGTATCACTTTGGTGTGGAGGTAACAGTGTTCTGTGTGCCTCGGTGTATAGCCGTGCTGGCCACGTGACCACAGAAGCATCTTTAGACAAGGCTGGCTCCCTCATCCAAGAAATGGAGATAAGCACCGTGCCCTAAAGTTGGACACGACTGGCTGTGAAAACCTTTCCCTTAATCCACATTTGTGCATTATTTGCACCGCAAACCCGCCATTAATATCATTCACAAAATGGTTTTCACAAATCTCCCAAATAAAAATGTTAGCAGCACCAAAAGAAAGCGTAGTCACAGTGTCCTGCAATTTATGACTTTTGGCCTTTGCTTCCATATTCTGGCAAAAAAAACCCGCCCATTGACTACAATGTTTGGATCCTATGTTGTCTACGTCTGCTGGTAAGTTACTACCAGAAGAAATGGGTTAGCCTGTGGAGTTGCCACTGGGTTGAGCTTCATGTTGATGATACAATCCATGCGTTTATTTCTATAGGTACTCATTAACTTGCAACTGGGTTGCTTAGCGAGTTGATATATATATATATATATAACAGATGCCGAGTTCCCAGAAAAAAGGCGGAGAAGAGCATCAAAGATGACAACGGGTCTGGAAGCAAAGTCATATGATGAACAGCTAAGGGATCTAGTTACGTTTAGCCTAACCAAAGTAAGGTTTAGGAGAGACATGATAACTGTCTTCCAATACTTAAAGGGAAGAGAGCTTCCATTTATTCTCGAGAGCACCTGAGGGCAGGACGAGAAGCCATGGAGGAAGCTTTTCAGAAAGAGAACCAACCTAGAAATAAGGAAGAATTTCCTGAATGTAAGAATTAATCAATGCAACAGTTTGCCTCCTGGAGTTGTCGGTGCTCCATCACTGGAGGTTTTCAAGAAAAGATTAGACAACTATTTGTCCAGGATGGTAAAAGGAGTCCTGCCTTAGCCATGGGGTTGGTCTAAAAGATCTTCAAAGTCCCTTTCAGCCCTATGATTTTATGACTGATTCTCTGAGTCTATGATTCTGTGATGATTCTATGATGACTCTATGATGATTCTATGGTGATTCTATGATGACTCTATGATACTGTGATTCTGTGATTCTATGATACTGTGATTTTGTGATACTGTGATACTGTGATTTTGTGATCCTATGATTCTGTGATTCTCTGATTCTATGATTCTATGATACTGTGATTCTGTGACTTTGTGATTCTATGATTCTGTGATTCTATAATTCTGTGACTGTGATTCTATGTTTCTATGATACTGTGATTCTGTGATTCTTTGATTCTATGATACTGTGATTCTATGATTCTGTGATTCTGTGACTTTGTGATTCTGTTTCTATGATTCTGTGATTCTGTGATTCTATGATACTGTGATTCTGTGATTCTGTAACTTTGTGATTCTATGATTCTGTAACTTTGTGATTCTATGATTCTGTGATTTTGTGACTTTGTGATTCTATATTTCTATGATTCTGTGATTCCGTGATTCTATGATTCTATTCCCTATGCACTTTTGCAACCCAGAAGCTTTTGCTGTTAGCCTGTACCTCTCCAGTAATATCCTAAACACTGATCCTCCACTGGGCCTACCTTCCGATTGTGGTTGAATTCATAACCTTCTGGCTTGCATTCGTGAGAACGGATGATGAACTGCAGGCGGTGTTTCTGCAGAAACATATCCGTCACATCAGGTCCAAAGTAACAGCCTCCGCCCCTTTCCAAATTCATTGTGCATCCAGGTCTAGGATCAGGGTCACTCCATAGAATATCCACAACCTACAAGCAAAGTCACAGACATGGGATTTTCCAGTTGCTTTATTTGAATTTTATTCATGCGTTTAGGTATGTAAGTCCACATTCAAAAGAAAAGTCAGTAGGGAATAGCATCAACATTAGAAATTCTGAGAGTTTCAAATTTTTATTAGTTTATCAAAACATAAAAGACAAAAATACAAAGAAAAAAACGAAAATAAGGGAAAAATAAGGGAAGGGTAAAGAGAAAAATGTAGGAGACCTTTGAGCTGTTTTCAGGGAGGTTGAACACTTTGAACATTGTGGATTATAACCTTGCCTGACTGACAATTTTTGGATGCCTGAGACAAAGGATCACTATAAAATATTGATTTTGGGACTGGACGTGTATTCTGGAATCTATTGGATTATAAAGGCTACATATAAAGTCCAGAAAGCTAGAGGAAACTTTGTTCTACTCTTAAATAAACACCTTTCAGAAGGAAATATACTCTACACTACAACTAATTCACCAAACAATTGTTGCAGACAAAGAGGACATAAAAAGAAATCATAATGAGACTAAAAATAATTTAGATAACATAAATGAGCAAATCTCCAAATTAAATCTACAACTAGAAAGTTCCCAGACAACTACAAAGTATTTTAGCTATATAAATGTAATTAATATTGAGAAAATCATAACTGACAAAGATACTTTAAATATTGATGGGTAATCAAACTTTAACAAGAGCATGAAAAACAGATATTGATTTATGAATTGATAGTATTGTTATTTGTATAATATTAGTAAAATATGACGAAAGAGGTTTATATCTAACTTTGTATACATCAATCGTACCAAGAATTGTAATTGTGTAATGAGGGGAAAATGGAAACAATATGGGGAAGAAAGAAGGATCAGGGAAATTATACTGGATTGTGCAGTACTGAATAGATTTATATTGAAGAACTTAATGTTAAATATGTGAACCCGGACAACATGTTGTTTACTAAGCTCCAAAGATTGTAATTCTTAAAAATTAATAAAACTTAAAAAAAAAAAAGAATTAACCAAATTCAAGAAGGGTTAGCCTTGTGGGAGTGTAATGATTCTAGGCCAGTGATGGTGAACCTTTTAGAGACCGAGGGCCCCAAAAACTGCCCCCCATCCCCGCTCCGCCCTGCCCACTGGGCCACCCACCACCTCCACGGCCCGCCACAGATCACCCAGGCAGCCCAGCAGTGCCATGGCAGCCATGCCCTCCACCCATGCCCCGCAGCATCATCTGCGCGCAACAGGGTGCAAGGGTGGAGTCTTGTCCCCGCTGCCCAGCTACCATGTCCTTGGCTCTGCTGCTTCGTGTGGGCCGTGCCCAGGAGCAACTCTCCTCCGGGGGGGGGCTGCTGGTGAGGAGGGGACCGTGGGAGGAGGCAGGGCTGGGGAGACGGTCCGTGTGCCCATAGAGAGGGCTCCGAGTGCTGCCTCTGGCACCTGTGCCATAGGTTCACCACCACTGTTCTAGGCTGATGACTCTCTTGACTCCACCCCCCAGGCTCTGCCCTCTTTCTCCTACAGGTTGGTCAGCTATTGCTGGATTGATTTCTACTTTTCTGCTTGCTGGAATTTTGGCAGTTCTCCAAATGCTTACCTGCTCAATGTCATCATCTTCATAGCATGTGGATTCATTTGAGTCCTCTGAGTCCACAGATGAACTGGGTCCTGGGGTTTTCTGGACTCCAGGGGACATGCGAGAGGATCTCGCATCTTCCTGGACTGTCTGTTGTCCCCCTTGGGAGACTTTGATTGTGGAACTGCTCCTGGCCAATTTGCCACCTTCAGATGGGGTATACTCTAAAGATTTTCTTCTCTTTGGTGTTAGCACAGAGGGAATCTAAGTTGAGAAGGAGACACCAAAGAGGGAGCTGTTAAGAAAGAGACAGAATACGTGACTGAGAATCAGGTATTTTTTAGAACCATATTTTCAATCCAGTTGTGGAATTGGAAAGAAAAAACAAAGTGATCTTGGAGTATCTATATCAGTGATGGCGAACCTTTTAGAGACGGAGTGCCCAAACTGCAACCCAAAACCCACTTATGCATCGTCGGGTGCCGAGTGGGTGTGGCCCATTGGGTGGGCGGGGCTGCGGTGGTAACAGCAGACTGGGTGGGACTTAAAAGTTCAATCAATCAATTCTAACTTTGCAAGATCTTTTTTTTCCCGCAAGAAATTGAAATTGACTGAATGATTGAACCTTTTTTTGTACATGGTGTCGGAGGCCTAAAGCAAAAAGGTTTTATAAAACCCAGCTGAAGGCCTAGGACTGGGGCAATGGCGCGTGTGCCCACAGACTGCCGCCTCTGGCCCACAGACTGCCGCCTCTGGCACCCGTGCCATAGGTTCGCCACCACTGGTCTATATTTTGTCTCTCTTCAATCCTGTGTGCAGTTCTGATCACTACAATACAAAAGGGACCCAAGTAGTCCTCAGCTTACAACGGTTTGTTTGGTGACCGTTCAAAGTTACAACAGCACTGACAAAAATCATTTTTCACACTTACAACCATCGCAACATCCCCCTGATCAAAATTCAGACATTTGGCAACTGACTCATATTTATGACGGTTGCAGCATGTCCCAGGATCACGTGATCACCTTTGGCAGCCTTCCGACAAGCAAAGTCAGTGACTAAACCAGGCTCACTTTACAACCATGTTACTAACTTAAGAACTGCAGTGGTTCACTTAACAACTGTGTCAAGAAAGGTGGTAAAATGGGGCAAGACTTACTTAACCAATCAATGTCTTGCTTAGCAACAGAAATTTTGGGCTCAGTCATGGTCATAAGCCAAGGACTACCTGCAATGAAGAACTGGAAAGGTTACAGAGAAGATGGTGAAGAAATTGGGTCTAATTCCTATGAAGAAGGATTAAAGCAGAGGTCCCCAACCTTTTGGGCACCAGGGACCATTCCGGGGAAAAAAGTTTTTCCGTGGACCGGAGGGTGTGTGGTTTTGTGTGCTGCCTGCATCTCGCGGATGAGGCTTTGGTTGTTTGTGTGGACCGGTTGCTGGCATGCTGTGGCCCGGTACTGTCCATGGACCGGGGGTTGGGGGGCCCTGGATTAAAGGAAGTAGGCAGGTTTAGCTTAAAGAAGCTACAGTACAATCGAACCCTCCCAATATTTGAAAGCTGTCACAGGGAAAAAAGAGTAAATTTATTCTTTGTAGCTGCTGAAAGTGGGACAAGAACCAAGAGGAAAACAGAGGTCCAAAGTTCAAATAAGAAGGAATTTCCTGATCATCTTTAGAGATGGAGTCCTAGTGGACAAACACTTAAATATGAGCCAACCGTGTGCTGCAGCTGTCAAAAAAGCCAACACAGTCCTAGGCTGCATTAACAGAGGGATAGAATGAAAATCACGCAAAGTGTTAGTACTGCTTTATAATGCCGTAGTAAGACCACACTTGGAATACTGCATCCAGTTTTGGTTACTACAATGTAAAAAAGATGTTGAGACTCTAGAAAGAGGGCAGAGAAGAGCAACAAAGATGATTAGGGGACTGGAGGCTAAAGCATATAAGGAACGGTTGCTGGAATTGTGTATGTCTAGTTTAATGAAGAGAAGGACGAGGGGAGACATGATAGCAGTCTTCCAATATCTCAGGGGCTGCCACAAAGAAGAGGGAGTCAAGCAATTCTCCAAAGCACCTGAAGGCAGGACAAGAAGCAACGGATGGAAACTCATCAAGGAGAGAAGCAACCTAGAACTAAGGAGAAATTTTCTGACTGTTAGAACAATTAATCAGTGGAACAACTTGCCTCCAGAAGCGGTGAATGCTTCAACACTGGGAGTTTTTAAGAAGAGTTTGACAACCATTTGTCTGAAATGGTGTAGGGTTTCCTGCCTGAGCAGGGGTTTGTGGACTAGTTGACCTCCAAGGTCCCTTCCAGCTCCGCTATTCTGTTCTGTTCCACAAATAAAAGCAGGTCCTCTTCTAACGCCATACCTTACACCTCTCAACTTTGGCTAGCTGTTCCAAATCGGTCTTATCAGATATGCCTCCATGTACAATCAGGACCTTTCTGTCAATCACAGTTGCCAATGGCAGGCTGCTGAAGACATTCTTGATCACCGCCAGGAGTCTGTTGGCATGATCCTAGAGGGAAGAGGAGCAGAGTGCAAAAACTAGGCTGCGCAGTTCAGGGGTATCCGACAACACCGAAGATGCAATAGGTAGGCAAACCGGAGTACCTTATATTTGCGGGTGACTTCCTTGGTAAACCCGTAGCTACAGGCAGAAGAGAAGAGAAGACTTTAACTAGATGTCTTGGAAGGAGAGCAAAACAACAACAATGACAATCTTAAAAGTGTTACAGGTAGTCTTCAACTTACAACACTTCGTTTACTGACTGTTCAAAGGTAGCACAGCACTGAAAAATGTGCCTTATGACCGTTACAACCGTTGCAGCATCCCCACGATCAGGTGGCCAAAATGTAGACGCTTGACTCATATTTATGACCTTTACTGTGTCCCAAGGTCATGTGATCCCCTTTTGAGACCTTCTGACAAGCAAAGTCAGTGGGAAAGACAGATTCACTTAACAATCAGTTTACTAACTGATCAACTGTGGCAAGAAACGTTTGGGCAAAACTCACTTAACAAATGTCTCACTTAACAACAGAAACTTTGGGCTCAGTTGCCATCGTAAATTGAGGACTACCTGTAGTTTTGACTTATTTTCAGCCCTGCGAGATAAATCAGACCAAGAAACCAACGTCATGTAAGACGGCACTAGTTTTATTGCAACAGGCACAGTAACAGAATCTTGCCAGTTGGAATGGGCTTCCCCCCTCCATCCTTTTATTTTGGTATGAACTAGGGAGGGGCTTGTCCGAGATACTTTGTTAGAAATTCTGTTTTACATAAAGGACCACATAGAGCAAACAAAGAGCACAGTCACCATGTGCTTTACTGCTCAACTCTATTACTGTAACTGGAAACAGGAAACTCTTCTCACAAAATAAAGAAACCATAGATTATAACCATAGATGCATGCTAAACACTGCCATCTACTGGCTGAATAATTCTGTTGCAATACAAAATACATTCTAACATATATTCCAACGCTTTCTCAGGTTACTTTCTTGGCCAGGGCTCAAGATCCACTTATCTTGCTAACCGTTCTTCCTCCTAGTCATCTAGGTTATTCCCTATAACTTTTACAGGTAGTCCTCAACTTATAAGAGTTTGTTTAGTGACTATCAAAGTTTATGAAAATGTTGAAGGGTACTGGGCCTAGGACAGATCCTTGGGGTACCCCATTGCATGCTTCCCTCCATGTAGTTGTAGTTCCGTTAAGCACTACACACTGGATGTGGTGGGTCATTAAATTGCAGATCCATCTGTCGGGTGATGCTGTCTACCCAATAATAATATGTGTACTGAAGAAAATATTTATTTATCTATTTAAAAAATACATATGGCCATCCAACTCATTCTCAGTACCTCTGGGTGGCTTACAAAGATAAACAAAATAAAAACTAGATACCCTACTTTTCTGCAAATGATTTAAATTCCATACCGGAAATTGATCATGTAATCCTCATGGTTGCCTCGATTCAGGTGGACCTCTTTGGGGTAAATCAAGAGGAAAACAAAGAGAATGATCAGGATCTCAATGGAATGCTTGCCTCTGTCCACAAAGTCACCGTTGAAGACGTACAACTTCTGCGGAGAAGGAAGTCCGTTCTGTAAGGAGGAGAAACAAAAATCCCTAAAATTGAACTTCAGTGGGATGGCAAGATTAGGAGACAAGCTCCCAGGAAGCCTTAATCTGTGGGGTCCTTGGTGCTCTCTGAGCTTGGTTGTTTTCTCGCAGATGTTTCATGACCCAACTAGGTAACATCATCAGTGCTAGAAGGGAGAGGAGGAGGAGGAGGAGGAGGAGGAGGAGGAGGAGGAGGAGAAGTGTAGAGTCCTTGGTGCTCTCTGAGTTTGGTTGTTTTCTTGCAGACGTTTCATGACCCACCTAGGTAACATCATCAGTGCTAGAANCTAGAAGGGAGTGTGGAGGAGGAGGAGGAGGAGGAGGAGGAGGAGGAGGAGAACTGTGAGATCCTTGGTGCTCTTTGAGCTTGGTTGTTTTCTTGCAGATGTTTCATGACCCACCTAGGTAACATCATCAGTGCTAGAAGGGAGTGTGGAGGAGGAGGAGGAGGAGGAGGAGGAGGAGAACTGTGAGATCCTTGGTGCTCTTTGAGCTTGGTTGTTTTCTTGCAGATGTTTCATGACCCACCTAGGTAACATCATCAGTGCTAGAAGGGAGTGTGGAGGAGGAGGAGGAGGAGGAGGACAACTGTGAGGTCCTTGGTGCTCTCTGAGCTTGGTTGTTTTCTTGCAGACGTTTCATGACCCAACTAGGTAATATCATCAGTGCTAGAAGGGAGAGGGCTTTGCTCCCTGTGTATGTACTAGTGGCTTTTCCCGCCAGCGTTGATGGGAGTGTTCTTCACAGATGCCGAGATTCACTGATGCCGAGGAATGTTGTGCGTTTTATTGCTCCACCATAGCAAGTCTAACAAGCAGCAAAAAGTGTAATTACTTTGTTTTATCTTGGTTAGGGAAGAGTTACCATGTCTTTTCTTGCACGGAAGATTAGAATCGAGGTACTTTTGTAAGGATTGATTCATTTCGATTGCTTTTGACATATCGTCATGAACGCTCTGCTTACCTTGTAAAATATGTGAAACAAGTCGAATATTTGTCCATGTAAGTCTCCTAATAAAAGAAAGGGAGAAAGTGTTATCTCAGTGAAGAATTTGATAGAATCCTAGAATGTATAAATTGGAAATCATCTTTAAATAATTTTAATCCAGCTCCTTGCACAGTGCAGTGGTTCAATTTGACATCAACAGGACGTTGCTGAGCTTGAGAGAAGACTAAGCTATCAAAATTCCAAGATATTTCCTTATTGCTGGTAAGAGAACATGGACAGGTCCATCAGGAATCAAACTAAACTCCTGGAAGATATGAACTCTTGCAGGCCGCTTACTATCGTAGCAGGTAGCCGTAGATAGTCAACCTTGGTTAGACTGTTGAATTTCTGCCTGCTCGTTTTGGAGTTTGGGCAACAGTCACTCAGAAGTCTCCTACCCCTCATTTAAAAGCCCAAACTTCACCGCATATTGCAATGGTTTAGAGCAGGTCTCCAACTTTGGCAACTTTAAGACCTGTGGACTTCAACTCCCAGAATTCCCTAGCCAGCCATGCCGGCTGGGGAATGCTGGGAGTTGACGTTCACAAGTTTTAAAGATGCCAAGGTTGGAAGCCCCTCGTTTAGACTTTTAGGCAAATATTTCTCTCTCTGTGTCTCTGTCTCTGTCTCTGTCTCTCTCTCTCTCTCTCTCTCTCTCTCTCTCTCTTTTTTTTTTGAAAAAAAATTATTAATTTTCTAATTTTACATTTAAATATTTGAAAAGCAACGTGATGGCTGAGTTGGTCAATAATTCAATAACATACAAATATCTTTAGTACAGATCTCAAATTATTACATTAAATAATTCCTCTCTTTTCCCCTATCTATCTATCTATCTATCTATCTGTCTGTCTGTCTGTCTGTCTGTCTGTCTGTCTGTCTGTCTGTCTGTCTGTCTGTCTGTCTGTCTGTCTGTCTATCTATCTATCTATCTATCTATCTGTCTGTCTGTCTGTCTGTCTGTCTGTCTGTCTGTCTGTCTATCTATCTATCTATCGAGATAGATATAGATAGATAGATAGATAGATAGATAGATAGATATAGATATAAGCTATCTAGCTTAGCTATCTATCTATCTATCTATCTATCTATCTATCTATCTATCTATCTATCTATCTATCTATCTATCTATCTATCTATCTATCTATCTATCTATCTATCTATCTATCCAGAGCTTTTTTTCTCACAGAATGCTCAGAACGGAGTTCCGGCACCTTTTTTGGATGGAACCTTGTAGGGTAGGCAAGGCGGGTTGTATGACGTGTGAGTTCTGGCACCTTTTTTTTAATAGAAAAAAAGCACTGTCTCTCTCTCTCTCTCTCTCTCTCTCTCTCTCTCTCTCTCTCTCTCTCTCTCTCTCTCTCTCTCTCTCTCTCTCTCTCTCTCTCTCTCTCTCTCTCTCTCTCTCTCTCTCTCTCTCTCTCTCTCTCTCTCTCATCTATCTATCTATCTATCTATCTATCTATTAAGCTATCTAGTTATCCATCTAGCTATCTAGCTATCTAGCTAGCTATCATCTATCTAGCTTAGCTATCTAGCTATCATCTATCTAGCTATCATTTCTCTCTCTCTCTCTCTCTCTCTCTCTCTCTCTCTCTCTCTCTCTCTCTCTATCTATCTATCTATCTATCTATCTATCTATCTATCTATCTATCTATCTATCTATCTATCTTCTCTATCTGTCTGTCATCTGTCTGTCTAATCTGCCACCATCTCACTATGGAGACCAGCTCTAGGTGGCTGAGTGCAACTCAGTGCAATAACATCATTGGGACATAAACACCAGGTATAAACATAGAAACAGTTGAAAAGACAGGAATGAAACAGAGGAGAAAGATTTTCATCTTGTTCTGCTTTGGGTATCAGGAGGAACAAGGCCAGGCTCCTTTGCTGGACTCAGGAGCACTCCTCTCCTCTTCCTTGCAACTTTGCCGAGGGGCTCTACCTATTTACAACAGGTAGTTGTCTCACCACACACGGTGATCTCCTCACTGTAGCAGGTAGAGATTCTGTTAATATTTGGCAGCTGGCTCAGATGGTGTTCCGCCTCTTGGAAGAGTTTTAAAACATAGTAAGGATGAAGCTGCTACTGGGAATAAAGAAAAAAAAACATTAGAAAAGGCAACGGGAGAGAAGTTGAGCCTTGACTGGCAGACGTTTCATGACCCAACTAGGTAACATCATCAGTGCTAGAAGGGAGTGGGCTTTGCAGAAAGGAGGAGGAGGAGGAGGAGGAGGAGGAGGAGGAGGAGAACTGTGGGGTCCTTGGTACTATCTTAGCTTGGTGGTTTTCTTGCAGACGTTTCATGACCCAGTTAGAAGGGAGTGGGCTTTGTGAAGACGTTTCATGACCCAATGCTAGAAGGGAGTGGGCTTCGTGAAGAGGAGGAGGAGGAGGAGGAGGAGGAGGAGGAGGAGGAGGAGGAAGANCCCCTTGGGGAAGTGGGGCTGGGCTTGGTGCCGCTGGTGCTCAAGAGCCAGGCTGGGCATTTGACCTCTGCTGCGCAGGGCTCCGGGCAGCCCGCACCACCATCCAGCCCCCCATGGCCTGAGAGGAACAGTGAGGCTCCTCCAGTGGACCATACCTTGGCACTTGCCCTGGTCCCACCCCGTTCTGCCAGAGACCCTCAGATCTGTCCCACTCCTGCCCTGGCCCCCCACAGGCACCCTTGATGCAAACGATGTAGAGCTGGCCACGCCCACCCAACAGGCCACACCCACTCCATGCCCAACAGTAGGCCGCACCCACCCTGGCCCCACACCCCCCCCCGAGGGCAACCGCAATGCTGATGCGGCCCTCAATGAAATTGAATTTGACACCCCTATACTAGTGGCTTCTCCTGTGTTCTTCACTCCCACCAACTCCGACAGAACGAGCCAATTAGCGTGAGCCAACAGGACCTTTACACACGTAGTCCTCGACTTACAACAGTGCGTTTAGTGACCGTTCAAATTTACAACGGCATTGGAAAAAAAAAAAGCTTGCCAGGAAGGTTGCAAATGGCGGTCAATTGACTCCAGGATGCCACAACCATCGTAAATACATGTTGGTGGCCAAGCATCCAAATTCCGATCACATGATTGTGGGGATGCTGTGATGGTTGTAACTGCGAGGAACAATGGTAAGTCTCATGTTTGGTGCCGTTGTAACTTCACACGGTCACTAAACGAAAGCTTGTAAGCCGAGAACTACCTGGAAAGAATTTTAGGGATCTCTGATCCATTCCCGGAAGCAACATTGAGATAGTTGTTCTTCAAGTACTTACTTGATTGTTTCTGAAGGCTTCCAGGATGTTTACCGCATCGTCCGGCGTCAGGGGGAAACTGAGTCGAGGGCCCCTGTAACTAACTGGTACCTCCATAGATTCCATTCCTTTTTCCAGTTTGATCCGTTTCGTATTATCCGTCTCCGACAGGATGCGGTTAAGGAAATCCCCTTGGCAGGAGTAGAGCAAAATTTTAAGATATTTCAGATATTAATGCAGACGGTCCTTTCTCTGAGGAATCAGAAAAGTTAAAAATGTGCCCGCAGGTAGTCCTTGACTTACAATAGTTCATTTAGTGACCCTTCAAAGTTACAACGGCACTGAAAAAAAGTGACTTGCAACCGTTTTTCCCCCACACACGTATGACCTTTGAACCATCCCCAGGATCATGTGATCAAAATTCAGGTGCTTGGCAACTGACTCATACTTATGACCGTTGCTGTGTCCCCGAGTCATGTGATCCCCTTTTGTGACCTTCTGACAAGCAAAGTCAATGGGGAAGCCAGATTCACTTAAACGAACGTGTTACTTAACAATCTGGTTACTAACTTGTTCACTCCGGTGGTTCACTTAAGAACTATGGCCAGGAAGGTCGTAAAAAGAGGCAAAACTCAACAACTGTATTCCTTAGCAATGGAAATTTTGGGCTCAGCTGGGGCCATAAATCGAGGATTACAATTATATATACACTTACTATCTTTCGTGTTTTTTGATGCGACGTTCTCTAAGAGATAGTCAAAGAAATGGCTGAGCTGCAGAAGATCAAAATAATATTGTCAAAACCTAGAGGAAACATACATTTCTTTTCTCTTTTCTTATTTTTGCCCTCCTGGGCTACCCTCCTTCGCCATAACTATGTCTAGGTATGTCTAGTTTAGGTCTAGGTATGTCTAGTTTAATGACATACAACTATGTGTAGGTATGTCTAGACCAGGGGTAGGCAACCTTGGCTCTTTTATGACTCGTGGACTTCAACTCCCAGAATTCCTGAGCCAACATGGCTCAGCTTGGAAACTCTCCCTTTCCCCTCAGCATGGCTGGCTCAGGAATTCTGGGAGTTGAAGTCCACGAGTCATAAAAGAGCCAAGGTTGCCTACCCCTAGTCTAGTCTAATGAAAAGAAGGACTAATCGTAATGTATAAAGATATTTTGAACACTAAAGGGAAAGCAAAATGGAAACAAGAGATGGGAAAGCAAGAATATTGGTCTAATAAGGTGACCGTAATTGCAAATAAAATTGAGTTACAAATTGGATAGAAAAGATGTTATAATTTAGAAGCAATTGTATCAGTAGATACAATATTAGAAAAATATGATGATGAAGAAACATATATTCAATATTGTATGTATGTTATATGTATTAATAGTAGAAAGAATTGTATCTGTTTAGTGTTTGAAAAGTGAAGAAACATCACTTCAACAAGAGAGGATTAAAAAAATGTCAGAATGTGCAGAAACTAAGAGTGATATTGAAGAACAAAGAAAAGGAAGATACAGAATAATTTTAATATGTATTGTTAAGTAAAAAAATGAACCCAGATAACATGCTGTTTATTAAGCACTTACGATTTGTAAAAATTAGAAAATCAATAAAATTTTATCGGAAAAAAAAGCAATGGATGTAAACTAAATCAAGGAGAGAAGCAACCTAGAACTAAGGAGAAATTTCCTGACAGGGAGAACAATTAACTAGTGGAACAACCTGCCTCCAGAACCGGTGAATGCTCCAATACTGGAAGTTTTTAAGAAGAGACTGGACAACCATTTGTCGGAAATGGTATAGGGTTTCCTGCCTGAGAAGGGGGTTAGACTAGAAGGCCTCTAAGGTCCCTTCCAACTCTGTTATTCTATATTCTGTAAAGGTTCAGAAGAGAAGGACTAGGGGTGACATGATAGCAGTGTTCCAGTATTTGAAGGGCTGCCACAATCTATTCTCCAAAGCACCTGAAGGCAGGACAAGAAACAACGGATGGAAACTAACCAAGGAGAGAAGCAACCTAGAACTAAGGAGAAATTTCCTGACAGTGAGAACAATTAACCAGGGGAACGACTTGCCTCCAGAAGTTGTGGGTGCTCCATCACTGGAGGTTTACAAGAAGAAATCAGACATCCATTTATTTGGAATGGTGTAGGGGTTCCTGCTTGAGCAGGGGGTTGGACTAGAAGACCTCCAAGGTCCCTTCCAACTCAGTTATTCTGTATTAAATAACAACTGGGAGCTGATGCTTCCACACACCTGTTGCCACCGTACCTTCATTTGATCGTGTTCTCCCGCATATTCTATGGATTGGAAGATGCGCCAGGTGCATCTCCGTCGCATTTCGAGTCGGGCTACATAGCGTCGATACCACCGCTGGATCAGAACAGCTGATCTAAGGGCTGAGGTGCAAAAAGAGAGAGCAAAAGGATCAGGAAGCAACCACCATCTTTAAAAGGCGCAGTTTTATTTGAGTATGTTATTATGAATAATGAAAACATTGCTAATATGCCGTGCCTTCTCTCCAAAAGACAGTTGAAATTCCTTGTGGTGTTCCTCTGGCAATGCTGTTAAAAATGAGCATAATTCTGGCTACAAAGTACTCCTCGACTAGGGACCATTTGAAGTTATAACAGCGCTGAAAAAAATTGACTTATGGCCGTTTTTCACACTTATGACCCTCGCAGCACCAGGGGTAGGCAACCTTGGCTCTTTTTATGACTTGTGAACTTCAACTCCCAGAATTCCTGAGCCAGCCATGCTGAGGGGAAAGGGAGAGTTTCCAAGCTGAGCCATGCTGGCTGAGGAATTCTGGGAGTTGAAGTCCACGAGTCATAAAAGAGCCAAGGTTGCCTACCCCTGCGCCTAGTCACAGGATCAAAATTCAGACTCTTTGCAACTGACTCGTATTTATGATGGCCGCAGTGTCCTGGGGTCATGTGATCACTTTTTGCGACCTTCTGACAAGCAAAGTCAAGGGGGAAGCCAGATTCACTTAACAACCACATTACTAGCTTAACAACTGCAGTGATTCACTTAACAACCGAGGCAAGAAAGATTGTTAAATGGGCCCAAACTCACTTAACAACTCTCTCGCTTAGCAACATAAATTTTGGGCTCAGTTGTGGTTGTAAGTCGAGAACTACCTGTAGTGTTTTTTAACCTTATCAATTTTAACATGTGTGGAATTCAACTCCCAGAATTCTCCAGCCAGCTAGCACTGTTTCTTAACCTTAACAATTCTAGGATGCGTTTTTATTTAAATTTAAATTTAAGATGCAAGTTGGCTCGGGAATTCTGGGAGTTGAAGTCCACGCAACGTAAAGTTGCCAATGGTGAGGAGCACTGCTTTAAAGTTCACTATTTAGTTCAGAGAGAACAAATCTAGGAAGGATAAATGAAGACACCAAATCAATAATCAGATTTTTTTGGGGGGGTGATCATAATTCATGACTTGATAACAAATCAGATCAGAACGTGTGGATTTGAATCGCGACCTCCATTTTGGCAGTTCCAACATGCCTCTGTGCTGACCTGAGTTCGTGGCCATTTTTTTCTCCGCACCAACCGGAGGTTTTCTCTGAAACTCCATCCTTCTTCAGTTGCTTCTTTTCCATACTTTATAACCGCATCGTTTTAACCGGTACCCAAAGACATTCCAAGCCACCTGATTTGCAGCCCGCTTCCCCATTGTCTTAAATCACCCAATGGGAAAAAAACTGGCGAGGAAAGAAGAAACATTCTTGGCTTCCATTGGCCGGAATCTTTGATAAGAGAAGAGGTCCATTCTAAAGCTTGACTTGAGAACTTAACAGAATAACAGAGTTGGAAGGGACCTTGGAGATCTTCTAGTCCAACCCCTTGCTCAACAGGACACCCTATACCATTTCAGACAAATGGTTGTCCAGTCTCTTCTTAAAACCCTCCAGCAATAGGACACCCACAACTTCTAGAGGCAAGCTGTTCCACTAACTAATTGTTCTCACTGTCTGGAAATTTCTCCTTAGTTCTACTGTAGGTTGCTTCTATCCTTGATTAGTTCCCCTCCGTTGCTTCTTGTTCTGCCTTCAGGTGCTTTGGAGAATAGATTGACCCCATCTTCTTTGTGACAGCCCCTAAAATATTGGAAGACTGCTCTCCTGTCACCCCTAATCTGTCTTTTCATTAATCTAGACATACTCAATTCTTACAACTGTTCTTCATATGTTTTACTCTCCAATCCCTTGATGGATCAACCTCGATGGATCAAGCCAAGGATATAGCTAATCTAGCATTCTGTGTAACACATAGACCAGGGGTAGGCAACCTTGGCTCTTTTATGACTTGTGGACTTCAACTCCCAGAATTAGCTGGCTCAGGAATTCTGGGAGTTGAGGTCCACGAGTCATAAAAGAGCCAAGGTTGCCTACCCCGACATAGATCAATGAGTTGCTCTGGGGGCATTCTTAAACATGAATAGGAAGACAGTAGATCATCTCCACAATTGCTTCCTAGTAGACTTAATGAACATGATTGAACAGATGAACAGATATCCCCATGGAGCCTATAAGTCAATGAATTTGGACAGGTTTAAGGAAAGCTGTAGGAAGTCGGGTGGACAGAAGATGGATCACCTAAAGCAGGGGTGTCCAACCTTGACAACTTTAAGAATGGTGACTTCAACTACCAAAATTCCCCAGCTAATCATGTTGAGTTGAAGTCCAGTTGAAGTCTTAAAGTTGCCAAGACTGGACACCTCTGATCTAAAGCAACGAAATCACTTTGAAGATAGAACGTATTTATTAAGCATTCAAACCACAAAGAATGTACAAACTCCCATTAGCAGCATACTAATGAGAGGCTTGAGATGACTAAGAGGCAAGAGCCATTCCTTCAATGTTCCTTCTATAGAGCTATTCGGAAAAACTATATCCTTCCCATAATTGATGATATCCTGGTTGTTCGGAAAGGATTTATCTCCAATGGCTGCTTAAGGACGAGCAGGCAGTGATCACAGCGCAGGTGGCTAGATCCTGCACAAAAGCATTGGGGGTTCGCCGGAAACACAAATAAACAATTTAGATAATAATAATAATAATAATAATAATAATAATAATAATAATAATAATAATAATAAATAATAATAATAGTAATAAAGTTGGAAGGGACCTTGGAGGTCATCTAGTCCAACCCCCTGCTCAGGCAGGAAACCCTATACCAGTGTTTCTCAACCTTGACAATTTTAAGGCATGTGGACTTCAACTCCCAGAATTCCACAGCCAGCAATGCTGGCTGTGGAATTCTGGGAGTTGAAGTCCACATGCCTTAAAATTGTCAAGGTTGAGAAACACTGCCCTATACCATTTCAGACAAATGGCTGTCCGGTCTCTTCTTAAAAACTTCCAGTGTTGGAGCATTCACCGCTTCTGGAGGCAGGTTGTTCCACTGGTTAATTGTTCTAACTGTCAGGAAGTTTCTCCTTAGTTCCAGGTTGCTTCTCTCCTTGATTAGTTTCCATCCATTGCTTCTTGTCCTGCCTTCAGGCGCTTTGGAGAATAGCTTGACTCCCTCTTCTTTGGGGCAACCCCTGAGATATTGGAACACTGCTATCATGTCCCCCTTCGTCCTTCTCTTTGTTAAACTAGACATACCCAATTCCAGCAACCGTTCCTTATATGCTTTGGCCTTTTTAATAATCTTTTATAATTAATTTTATTACATGTTTTTATCCAGCATTAGACTCTACTCAATGTATTTTTTCTGAAGGTAGCCACACCTTGCTGCCGATCGTCCTCTTCCCGTTCCATCCATCTTCCCCAGCATTAGAGCTTTCTTTCCAGAAAGAAAGAAAAACAAAAACAGTCGCCCTTTTCCAAGTTAATTTATTTTCAGCCCTATCATTAAGTATTTGTGATGATTTAACAACCAAAGAATAAGGAAAAAAAAAGGTGGCAGGTTTTAAAATATGGCCCGAGGCTTACATTTAAAGATAAACGACATTTCAAAGTATAAATCCTGATGCTTGTGCGACACTAAAATTACTAGCAGGAAAGGATTTAAATTTTTTTAATTATTATTATTTAAAATAATAACAATTTCCCAGTTTGTTTTACAGGAAAAATAGCAGTGCATTTCTAGCTGTCACTTGAAAAAGGGATGGCAAGACCCCATTCTTCTAGAACAGTGACGGCAAACCTTTTAGAGACCGAGTGCTCAAACTGCAACCCAAAACCCACTTATGTATCGTCGGGTGCCAGGTGGGTGTGGCCCATTGGGTGGGTGTGGCCCATTGGGGGGGCGTGGCTGCGGTGGTAACGGCCGACTGGGTGAGACTAAAAAGTTCAATCAATCAATTCCAACTTTGCGAGATCTTTTTTTTTCCTGCGAGAAGTAGAAATTGACTGATTGATTGAATGTTGTTTTTTTTTGCACAAAGCGGTGGAGGCCTAAAGTGAAAAGGTTTTATAAAACCCAGCTGAAGGCCTAGAATGGCGCGCGCGCCCACAGAGAGGGCTCTGCGTGCCACCTGTGGCACACATGCCATAGGTTCGCCACCACGGTTCTAGGACAGAATTTTCTTTGACTATCTCCTATACCAGGGGTCCCCAACCTATGGGCCACGGCCTGGTACCAGGCTGCGGGCTCTTGGCCAGCGGGCCACAGAAATGGCTGGCCAGGCTGCACACTCGTGGGCGTGCATTCCCCACTTGCGCTAGCGCCCACGACCCTGCGAATGGGGATGCTAGCGCGGGGGGGTGCACCTCGTTTGTGCATGCATGAACGGGGTGCTAGTGTGGTGTGGGTGTGTGCCCGCGGCCTATTCGTGCATGCGCAAATGGGCGCTAGCTGCCACGGGGGGGTGCACAGCTGTTCACGCATGCGCACGTCGCCAGCGCATGCACGAACGCAGCCGCTAGTACTGTGCCAGTGGGCGTGGCCCCGTTTGCGTGCACGCAGTAATTTGGAAGCTGCTCTCCCCTCCGGGCCGCGAGCTTGGAAAGATTGGAGAACTCTGTGCTATACTTTGAAATACCAACAGAAGAAAATATTTATAGTTCACAGTTGAACTGTGGGGTCCTTGCTGCTCTCCGAGCTCCATTGTTTTCTTGTATATAAACAGAGAGCAAAGCTCTTCTAGCACTGATGATGTTACCTAGTTGGATAATGAAACGTCTGCAAGAAAACAACCAAGCTCAGAGAGAAACCACAGCACCCCCCCCCCCCATTTTAAGATACATTCTGCAAAAGCTGGGTATGCAGAGAGTTCGTTGTCCATCCTTGGAAATTAACAGCTGTCCAAACTCATTTTTCCAGGGTTTTCCATATAGCTAGGAGAATAGAGTCACCATAAATATCTACGTGTGTATCTTGCCGTTGGCCAAATACGTAGATCCAAGGTAGTCCATCCAAGTCCTGATGTGAACCACACATATCTTATGGTTTCAATACATTTTCTCAGGAATATCAAATAAAGTGCATCTAATCAGGACATAGCCATGTCATACAGCCACAGGGAAATCTGATTTTTGTGCTGATGGGCTAAAATAGCCAATAGGACATGATGTTTAATCAAATAAAAGAAGGGAAACTGGCTCTTATCCCACGTCTATTATTTCAATATCCATTGCCTGCACACTAAGCCCTAAGGCCCTAAAGCAGTGGTTCTCAACCTTTTTAATGCCGCGACCCCAACCGGTCATAAGTCGAGGACTAAACCGGTCGTAAGTCGAGGGCTAAACCGGTCGTACGTCGAGGACTACCCAACCGGTCGTAAGTCGAGGACTTTCCCTGCCCCGGACCGCCGCGCATGCATGGTTCCGCTCCCTGCGCCGGCTGAGGCGTAGCTGGCAAGCGGCAGAGACGGAGCAGGCCGACCACCAGCTGGCCCAGCCCAAGGGAGGTAAGGCACCCGCCGGAAAAGGGGAAAAAATGGCGGACAAAAAAAATGGTGGACAAAAAAAATGGCAGACAGCCTTGCTTGGCGACCCCCATGAAATGGTCGATCGACCCCAAATGGGGTCCCGACCCACAGGTTGAGAACCACTGCCCTAAAGGCAGTAAGTTCTTTTTTCTTCTTTTAAAGATGGTAGTTCTGAAGAGAATACTATATATACATCAGTTTGTTATTTTGCCTATGCAGTTAATAAACGTAGCTCCTGCTTTTGCGTTTTCAAAGATTTTCATTCCTTCATTTCCTGATTCACAAGAGAGAGAAAAAAAGAAAGAAAAAAAAAAGAGAAAATGAATATTTTAAAAACATTTTAAGGTGAATTGCAACCATCAGCTATGTGACCTATTGACAGTATGCTCTTTCTGTATCTAACTTTATCCATTTATTTGATGTATTGCTATCCAGCCACAATTACAAAAAAGGTCTCTGAGTGGCTTACATAAAGTCTATTCAAATTTGTTGAATTCAAAAATGTAGTTTAATTCTGTCAATTAAAATAAAGCCTTCTATCATCATCATCAAATCTAGAAAAGCCCATTGGGGTATCTGACACCTACTGAAACTTCGCCACCTTAAAAAGTTCCCTGAATTTTTATTCAGACGCTAAGTGCTTAAGCAAGAAATAAAACCAGCATCTGGAATAATAAAACCCTGGAATTCAGAGGCATGATCCTGGATTTCAGTGATAGGCTGCACAGATCACAGCATGGTACTCAGAAAAATGCTTTTAAGGAATCTGGAATGGATGATATCTAAGGGCTTTAAGTTGTTATATCTGGGAGTCATATAACATCAGGAAAATGTTTAATTAAAGCATGTTATTCAATTGTTAAGTGAACCAGATAGTTGTTAAGTGAATCTGGCTTCTCCCATTGAGTTTGTTTATCAGAAGCCAGCTAGGAACGTTACAAACATGATCCTGGGACAGGGCAACCGTCATAAATACAAGCTAGTTACCGAGTGCCTGTATTTTGATCATTTGACCATGGGGAGGCTGCAACAGTCCTAAGTGTGAAAAATGATAATACGTTTTTTCCCCCAATGCCGTTGTAAATTCAGACAGTCGCTAAACAAATGGTTATAAGTCGAGGACTATTTGTATGTACTTATAATGTCCCAAATGATCAACCAAGATGGTCCACAGGTGTCTATCGACTGCCAGCAGCAAAATTCTATCTGAATCAGGGTTAGATGTCGTATCAATGTTCAGTTCCCGAACTAGGTTTGGTGGAAACTAAACTCTAAGAATTTGCAAGAACTGGAATGGACTTGGCAGGGTTCCCATTTCACGCCCAACTGAACTGCCAGATTTGTATGTTGAGATGTTAAGCCCTTCTCTTATTTCTCAAGCCACAGAAAAGTTATACCTACAATTGCAGTCTATCAGATGCCAAGGATCAGGCCCATACGTTAAGTTGCAGTTCAAAAGATTTATTGCTCAAACCTAGGCACCAGAATCTAGTCAACTAAAGTTTAATGACGAATTGGCACCAGATAAAGGTTGACAGAATTCAAGAGAGGCTGGACTTAAGAGCGTTCGTTGGAACATAACGATTCTATGCTGCTGACTCACTTAACTCCTCCCCCAGTTCTGCTTATGCTTCTCCTGCCTACACATTCTGTCAATGGGTCTCCTCTGCTTTGTTGGAGTTGTTTTAGGAGAACAAAGAAAGGAGGATCAAGGCCTTAATTAACATTTTTAGAAGACATGAAGAGTAGAATTGGAATGAAACTTCAAAGGCTCAACAAATGGCCATCAGCATCACAATGCTCAGGACTTACACATTTTCACTCCAGTGTCCTGATCCAAGTCTGATACTTGTCTGGATCTGCGTTACTCATCAAAGTGGTATAAATGGTGAACCTGATGAAAGAAAACCACACAGAAACACACAAAAACCAATAATGAAGTCCAGGAACAGATCAAATTTTCAGTTCAACCCAACTGGAAGAGAATAAAAATCAGATTCATCACAGTGTCTGTGTTTGCCTGACAATTATTTGGACAATAGACCCGATGGAAACTAACCAAGGAGAGAAGCAACCTAGAACTAAAGAGAAATTCCCTGACAGTTAGAACAATTAATCAGTGGAACAACCTGCCTCCAGAAATTGTGGGTGCTCCAACAGTGGAAGTTTTTAAGAAGAGATTGGACAGCCATTTGTCTGAAAGGGTATAGAGTTTTTTGCCTGAACAGGGGGTTGGACTAGAAGACCTCCAAGGTCCCTTCCAACTCTGTTCTGTTATTCTGATGTCATAAATCACATTATGACTAGGAAAGTACCAAATTCAGCCTTTACATGATGTGTGAACTCAGCCAAATTCCATGTTTTCCAAAGACAGATGTTTCAGGGATTCCTACAGAAGGAAATGACATCAAGAGTTCTCTCCTACTATTGCTACTTGCTCATAGTCCTCACTGAAATGTTAATTTGCAGGGGCATATATGGAGCCCTAGAGAAATACGGTGGTGGAAAGAATACAGGCAGTCCTCGACTTACAACAGCTCATTTAGTGACCATTCAAAGCGACAACAGCACTGAAAAAAGCGACTTGTGGCTTGTTTTTCACACTTACAACCATTGCAGCATCTCTGTGGTCACGTGATCAAAATTTGGATGCTTGGCAACTAACTCATATTTATGATGGTTGCAATATCCTGGGGTCACGTGATCCTCTTTGGTGAACTTCTACTGAGCAAAGTCAGAAGCAAAGTGAAACCAGATTCACTTAACAACTGTGTTACTAATTTAACAACTGCAGTGATTAAGAACTGTGGCAAGGAAGGTCATAAAATGGGGCCAAGCTCACTTAACAAATGTCTCACTTAGCAATAGAAATTTTGGGCTCGATCGTAGTTGTACGTTGAGGACTACTTGTATAGCAAACGAATCGCAACTAAGTGCTTTGTTTTGATCCTGAAACCAACAACCAAATTGTTCAAGTTCCCTCAAGTTATTTTTAAATTAACAATGGTTTCCCAGAATTGAAATCTGGATTGTCTCCCCCTTTGGAGCTCCGAGTTTTGACTTCTCCCCAATATGAGACATTATGAGAGGCTGCAAAGGAATGGGAGAGACTAAAAATCAACTACCAAGAGGGAGTTGTCTCATAAACAGTGGAGTCCATGTGAACAGAAGACTTTCAGATCACACAATGAGTTTGTGCCTTATAACGAGGCTGGGAAATTCCAACACGCCATGTGACCTCCTGCCACGAGCGGTGGCACCAGGACTATGAGCCATGTGGGCTCCTGCGGGGTGGCAGCACTGGCACGATGAGAGATGAGCAGTGGCACTGGCATGATGCGCCATGTGACCTCCTGCCACGAGCGGTGGCACCAGGACTATGAGCCATGTGGGCTCCTGCGGGGTGGCAGCACTGGCACGATGAGAGATGAGCAGTGGCACTGGCATGATGCGCCACGTGCCGTCCGGCTGCAAGCGGCCACAGGAGAAGTTGGGCAGTGACGCAACAAGTGCGGCAGTACTAAGGTAAGCGGGTAAGAAAATAAGAAAATAAGACCCGGTGCCATTTTTGGAGGCAAAAGAAAATATAAGACCGAGTCTTATTTTTGGAGGAACACGGGGTACACTAAGCACAGAACAATTTGTGTGGAAAGGGTTTTGCACATAACCCCTGGTTGATTATCTTTTCCCTGAAAAGACTGTGTGAAATCCAAAATGAATGCATTTTACTTTAAAAAAAAAACACACAACAACTTACGGGTTTAATACAGGTACTGTTGATAACACCTGGAAAAAAAAATAAAGCACCAGATGGTCACGCATGTAGACTTTTGACAATGAATACCAGTCCAAATATATTAAGCCAAGATTCACAAGTGTAGCTGCACGGAATACAGATAGTCTTCGATTTACAACAGTTCATTTACCGACCGTTCAAAGTACCACAGCAGTGACAAAGAGTGGCTTATGGCTATTTTTCACACTTCTGACCGTGGCAGCATCCCCGTGGTCATGTGATCAATAGTTGGATGCTTGGCAATTGATTCATATTTATGACGGTTGCGAGGTCCCCAGGCAGCGATCTTTTGACAAGCAAAGTCAATGGGGAAGCCAAATTCGCTTAACAATTGTGTTCCTAACTTAACGACTGCAGTGATTAACAACAATTCCAGCAAGAAAGGTCGCAAAATGGGGCTAAATTCACTTAACAACTGTCTCACTTAGCAACAGAAATTTAGTGGAAATAGAATAGAATAGAATAATAGAATAGAATAGAATAGAATAGAATAGAATAGAATAGAATAGAGAATGGAATGGAATGGAATGGAATGGAATGGAATGGAATAGAATAGAATAGAATAGAGCAGAGTAGAATAATAACTTTAAATAACGTTAAAATGAGATTTTGTTGCATACAGCTCTCAAAGGGGAACCACCTCCAATATATATTGCATGAACATGACAAAAATAAATAAATAAAATAAATTATGCATATACCCACATACACACACACATATGTGGCCCAGAGAAACAACAGTCTAGTTCGGATATATATATATATATCTCCAAACTATGTATGTATGTATGTATGTATGTATGTATGTATGTATGTATGTATGTATGTATGTATGTATGCATGCATGCATGCATGCATGCATGCATGTATGTACATGGTCAGAAAAACGAATCTCACGAGTTTACTAGACGGATGGCCTAGGGAACAAAGTTGTTGCAGAATCTGGTAGTCCTGCTAGAAATACTTCGAAATTACGCAAATCACTGAAGTTGTTAGGTGAATCAAATAGTCATTGAGTGAATCCAGCTTCCTCCATGGACAACAGCAAAAGGAGCATGATTTAAACTTGCCTTAAAGAGGGAATTAAGATTGAGATGTTCCTGTCCTGTCCCATTTAGTGCTTTAATAGCTGGAGTCCTACAGAATAAAAATAAAACGTTAGTTGACCAATATAACTAATTTCACAAGTCAAGAGTGTGCAAACCTGGATTTTAAAAAGTTGCCTCTGCTGCTGTGTACAGCAAGATTTTAAAGAAGTGGATTGTTTCATATTACAGGAAGAGGTCCAGATATTTTCCCTTTCACCCAATCCATTTTTCCAGGTATAGAAAATACAATTTCATCGTTTCCTACATGGACTTCCAAAAATGCTTTTCCCTTTAAGATTTTTCTCCCTTTTTTTTCCTATTAGGAACACTGTATTTTGGGTTGTACTTTGCATTCTAGGACATAGACATTACATGTTATAAAATTTATGAGAAAAAAAATCACTGAATGCTTTGACGGTTGGGGATCTCTGCCTTAAACACTTAAGCACAAACTGGCTTCTGATATTCTACTAGTGACATAAAAAGCAGCTGTGTCCTCTTCTCCAAATCCCTGACTTGATACCAAAGCTTTTTTCAGATTTTAGCCATTATATTTATCCCAGCACAGGGGATCTCCAGCATAAGCAGGCTATATTTAATAGAATTTAGAATAGCATAGAGCTGGAAGGGACCTTGGAGGTCTTCTAGTCCAGGGCTTTTCAACCAGTGGTATGGGTACCACCTGTGGTACATTGGCACCTGGCAGGTGGTACGCGACCATCCTAGAAAAGTGGTAGCGGTGGAGGGGAATGAGCTGAACCGGTGGCAGCACCGCACAAGCCTGAGCGAGAGACGGCTGGAGCTGCAGGGCTGTCAGGGCTCAGCGGAAGCGCCAGGATCAGTGCCGCTTTCCAGCTGATTGGCGCTTCTTCGGGGCTGTCAGAGCTCAGTGGAAGTGCCAGGATCAGTGCCAGGCTCCAGCTGGAGCTCGGCGCTGATCCTGGTGCTTTTGCTGAGCCCTGAAGAAGCACCAATCAGCTGGAATGTTGCAGCATCTCCAGGGTCTTGTGATTTACATTCAGATGCTTGGCAACCAATTCATATTTATGACGGTCACAGTGTCCCAGGGTCATGTGAAGTGACCAAAACCTGCTGCAACCACCCAGCAGATGGGGGGGGGGGGATAAAAACCAAACACCCCCTCACCCCACCCCCGCTGCCAATCCTCAACAGAAATGCTCACAACAATGGAAACCTCAGACAGGAGGAAGAGCGCCGCCGGGCGGGCAGGCAGGTGTCTTGCTCGGCTGTGGCTTGGGGGGCACTTTTTTCAGTGCCATTGTAACTTCAAACAGTCACTAAGCGAACTGTTGTAAGTCGAGGACTACCTGTACTTTATTACTTTTTTCCTTTGTGGGGGGTCATCAAGCTTTTGACACCTTGCTAGGTGACTGGTGGTACTTGGATGTTGCCATATCCCAAAAGTGGTACAATGGGTGAAAAGGTTGAAAAGCCCTGTTCTAGTCCAACCCCCTGCTCAAGCAGGAGAACCTATACTATTTCAGATAAGTGACTGTCTAATCCAGGGGTAGTCAACCTTGGCTCTTTTATGACTCGTGGACTTCAACTCCCAGAATTCCTGAGCCAGCTGTGCTGGCTCAGGAATTCTGGGAGTTGAAGTCCACGAGTCATAAAAGAGCCAAGGTTGACCACCCCTGGTCTAATCTCTTCTTAAAAACCTCCAGTGATGAAGCGCCCATGATTTCTGAAGGCAAGCTGTTCCACTGGTTAATTGTCCTCACTGTCAGGAAGTTTCTCCTTAATTCCAGGATGCTTCTCTCTTTGGTCAGTTTCCATCCATTGTTTCTTGTCCTGCCCTCTGGTGCTTTGGAGAATAATTTGACCCCCTCTTTTTTGTCCCAGCCCCTCATATACTGGAATACTGCCATCATGTCCCCACTATTTCTTCTTTTCTTTAGACTAGCCAAACCCAAGTCCCGCAGCCGTTCTTCGTATGTTTTAGCCTCCAGGCCTTTGATCATCTTAGTTGCTCTTCTCTGAATTTTTTCCAAACTCTCAACATCTTTTTTGTGACATGGTGACCAAAATTGGCTGCAGTATTCCAGGTATGGTCTTACTAGGGTTTTATAAAGCAGTACTAATACTTTGCATGATCTTGATTCTATGCCTCTGTTTATACAACCCAGGATTGTATTAGCTTTTCTGGCTGCTGATGCACCCGGCTGGCTCATATCTTGATATGGGTATCCTTCCAGAAAAACATACACTACCTTCGATCATCGTAAGGCGGTGGGTTTGTCCAGTGATCATAATTGGTCTCCACTCGGTACCACCTTCCAAAAACAGAAAACATACTTAAAAGCAGCCATATTATAACATTTATTTATTTGTTTGCATTCCACCTTTATTATTTTTACAAATAACTCAAGGCAGAGATTATATCTAATACACCTCCCTTCTATTGTGCCCACAACAACTGCCATATGTGATGGGTTAGACCAGGGGTAGGCAACCTTGGCTCTTTTATGACTCGTGGACTTCAACTCCCAGAGTTCCTGAGCCAGCCATGCTGAGGGGAAAGGGAGAGTTTCCAAGCTGAGCCGTGCTGGCTCAGGAATTCTGGGAGTTGAAGTCCACGAGTCATAAAAGAGCCAAGGTTGCCTACCCCTGGGTTAGGCTGAAAGAGAGTGACAGGTGTTTCGTGCCTAAAGCAGGACTAGACCTCACAGTGTCATGGTGATTGGCCCAAAGTCACCCACACAGCTTTCATGCCTAAGGCGGGACTAGAACTCACCGTCTCCTGGTGATTGGCCCAAAGTCTCCCAGCTGGCTTTTACGCCTGAAGCGGGACTAGAACTCTCAGGTTCCTGGTGATTGGCCCAAAGTCTCCCAGCTGGCTTTTATGCCTGAGGCGGGACTAGAACTCACTGTCTCCTGGTGATTGGCCCAAAGTCTTCCAGCTGGCTTTTATGCCTGAGGCGGGACTAGAACTCTCAGGTTCCTGGTGATTGGCCCAAAGTCTCCCAGCTGGCTTTTATGCCTGAGGCGGGACTAGAACTCACCGTCTCCTGGTGATTGGCCCAAAGTCACCCTGACGGCTTTCGCACCTAAGGAGGGACTAGAATTCACCATTCTCCCTCTTTCTAGCTATTCAGTTTTTGGTTTGTATCATTAGGTAACATACAAAACCAGTCCGTGTTATTTTGCTACAAATCCCAGTTAAAAGCCGTAAAGGAGCATTTAAAGGTAAACTTAGCTTCATGTCCAACTCTAACGGGTGGGGCTCATCTGTTTCTTAGCTGAGAGAGCCAGCATTGTCCGAAGATGCTTCCGTGGTCACGTGGCCAGCACGGCTATACACCGAGGCACACAGAACGCTGTTACCTCCCCACCAAAGTGGTACCCATTTATTTACTCGCATCTGCATGCTTTCAAACTGCTAGACAAGCAGGAGCTGGAGCAAGGAACGGGAGCTCACCCCGCTGTGCAGGGGCTTGAACCGGGGCTATCAAGCTCAGTGTCTTTAACCACTGAGCCATCATACCCACCCACCCACCCACCCCCCCACACACAAAAAAGCATTTACTTATTTGTTAAATTTATTTGCTGCCTATCTCGCCGGGGGACTATTTAGGCGGCTTGCGACAACAGTTTGTTGCTCCCATCATCCTAACAAATGGGTCAATTGCTTGCCATTTGCCTTATAAAACTCAGATTCTAGGCAACTTACGCCCCAGTTAATGGTTCCAGGGGCCAAATATCTACCGGGCCTCTTCTTTTTCTTGTAATGATTACTCCTTGTCTGGGTGCTATGCCTCCGATGATATAATAAACGTCTGCTATAATGGGTGTCTTGGAGAGCATCAGAGCAGCTGCTTCAAAGTTTTCCGCTTCACTTAGAACCTACAAAAAAAAAAATTCATGAATTATTGCCAAGTTTGGATAAACCTCCGTTAGCCTGATAGCGGAGCTTCATTGTGAAAACAGCAAAAAATACGTGCTAGGTTACAGGGGTAGGCAACCTTGGCTCTTTTATGAGTCATGGACTTCAACTCCCAGAATTCCTGAGCCAGCCTTGCTGAGGGGAAAGGGAGAGTTTCCAAGCTGAGCCATGCTGGCTCAGGAATTCTGGGAGTTGAAGTCCACGAGTCATAAAAGAGCCAAGTAATAAAGTGAAGCTTCTAGGCCAAGGATAGACAACCTTGGCTCTTTTATGACTTGTGGACTTCAACTCCCAGAATTCCTGAGTCAGCACGGCTCAGCTTGGAAACCTCTCCCTTTCCCCTCAGCATGGCTGGCTCAGGAATTCTGGGAGTTGAAGTCCATGAGTCATAAAAGAGCCAAGGTTGCCTACCCCTGTGCTAGGATGTGAGGGTTTCCTTTCAACGTTTGTAAAATTCACAGATAGTCCTCGACTTACAACAGTCCATTGAGTTGTCATTCAATGTTACAACGGCACAGAAAAAAGTGACATAGGACCGTTTTTCACACTTACAACGGCCGTAGCCTCCTCGTGGTCACCTGGTCAAAATTCCAGACGCTTGGCAATTGATTCATACTTATGACGATTGCAGTGTCCCAGGGTCATGGGATCCCCTTTTGCGACCTCCTGACGGACAAAGTCGACGAGGGAAGCCAGATTCGCTTAACGACCATCTCACCAATTTAACCAGTGCTGTGATTCACTTAACGACAGAAGAAAGGTGGTAAAAGGGGGCAAAACTCACTTAACCAATGTCTCACTTAGCAACAGAAATGTTGGGCTCAACTGTGGTCGTAAGTCAAGGACTACCTCAATATTTGAAAAAAAAAGTTACGCACAGTTCTGATAAGCCAGCTGGCTGGACTGTATTGGCCCAAAAAGGCTGATATGGCATTCTCCCACCAGTAGCCAACATCTGTAAAATAGAATATAAAAATGAAAAATGCCTTAGGAAAACCAGTTATTATCAAGAATCGAATCGAATGTAATCGAATAGAATAGAATAGAATTATTAGGAATGGAATGGAATGAAATGGAGTGGAATAGATAAGAATAAGAATAAGAATAAGAATAAGAATAGAATGGAATGGAATAGAATAGAATAGAATAGAATAGAATAGAATAGAAATTATTATGAATAGAATAAAATAAAAATAAGAATTATTATGAATAGAATAGAATAGAATAGAATAGAATAGAAATTATTATGAATAGAATAAAATAAAAATAAGAATTATTATGAATAGAATAGAATAGAATAACTATTATGAATAGAATAAAATAAAAATAAGAATTATTATGAATAGAATAGAATAGAGTAGAGTAAAGTAGGGTAGGGTAGGGTAGGGTAATAGAATAGAATAGAACAGAACAGAACAGAACAGAATAGAATAACAGAGTTGGAAGGGACCTTGTAGGTCATCTAGTCCAACCCCCCGCCCAAGGAGGAGACCCTACACCATTTCTGGCAGATGGCTGTCCAGTCTCTTTTTGAAAGTGTCCAGTGATGAAGCTCCCACATAAAAATGATCCCAAAATCAAAGATAGGTATGTAGGTTCGATCCACTACATCAGACATGTCAAACACAAAGCCCGGGGGCCGGATGCGGCCCGCGAAGTGGTTTCATGTGGCCCGCAAAGCCATCCTGGGAACAGTGAGGGAACGGCCCCCGCTGCCTTGGCCCTGGCCCAGGCCGGCCGGGAGCCAATGTACAATTTTGTGGTGGCCATCTATGCTGAAACGCATTCAGTCTTAGCTCCACAAGGCCATCTGGAAACAGCGAGGGACCGGCCCCTGTTGCGTCGCCCTCGCCCCCTGGGTGCATGCTGGGGAGGGGTCACTCTTTGTGAGGAATGAAGAAATGCACCATCGCCTAGAAGTGGCCAGCAAATGGCCCTCGCCTACTTCACATATCCGGCTTGATGGGCTCCAGGGGAGGGGTTTCAGCAGGTAGTGAGGCTCCTCCAGTGGACCATGCCTTGGCACTTGCCCCGGTCCCACCCCCTTCTGCCAGAGACCCTCAGATCTGTCCCACTCCTGCCCAGGCCCCCCACAGGCACCCTTGACGCAAACGATGTAGAGCTGGCCACGCCCACCCAGTAGGCCACACCCACTCCATCCACGCCCACCCAGTAGGCCACACCCACCCTGGCCACACCCACCTGCCCCCCGAGGGCAACCGCAATGCAATACAATATTGTTATGTCTAACTAAACTCCCATGCACATTCCTTCTCCTCCTCCCCCTCCACTATCATCTAATTCTAACTCTAATTCTAAGAGTAAAACATAAGAAGGAAAATGGCTGCATCTCCATACGTTGTCAAAGCAAGAACATCCGATGTTAGCAGCGTTGACAATCTCCGGGGCTGCCCCAAAGAAGAGGGAGTCAACCTCTTCTCCAAAGCACCTGAAGGCAGGACAAGAAGCAATGGATGGAAACTAACCAAGGAGAGATGCAACCTAGAACTAGGGAGAAACTTCCAGACAGTGAGGACAATTAATCAATGGAACAACTTGCCTTCAGAAGTTATAGGCATCACTGGAGGTTTTTAAGAAGAGATTGGACAGCCATTTGTCTGAAAAGGGATAGGGCAGGGGTGTCAAACTTGCAACGTCACGTGACGTGTCGCGACATATTGTGACTTTTTCCCCATTGCCGGCAGTGGAGTGGGCGTGGTTTCACTATGATGCATCCGGCCCGCGGGCCCGCAGTTTGACACTCCAGGTATAGGGTCTTTTGCTTGAGCAGGGGGTTGGACTAGAAGACCTCCAGGGTCCCTTCCAACTCTGTTATTCTATATTCTATTCTATACTCCCAAATCCTGTTCTGTTGATCTGTTCTGGAATTTTTAAGGAGTGCTGCATCTGTTAGTTTTCTCCCAAAACTTTCAACCTGCCTTCTCTAGAAGAACGATCTAACAGACATTCCTCACAAATGCTTCACCACTGCTCTTTGCCTTCAGAACCAGGCACGTGAGTCAGCAAATTATCAGCTTATTTGGGTAAAAATAAAATTTGCCTTACCTCGCTCATTCCCAGTGACGGAAAACTTGTGTGGACTTTGCCCCGTCCATAAACCGACGTAGCCGAAGAACGTAGTGCCTCTGAATTTTACCTGGAAATAATTAAAAGACAGAAGAAGCTACACTTATTCCTCATTACTTTCGATATTAAGTTCTCTCCAAAATAGTAAACAGGCCAGGGAGCCATTTAATTTGATGAAAACCTGTCTTTACTTAAATGTAGAATAAGAGTTAAAATGCTTTAGGGATGTAGGAAAAAGGTTATCTTATCTTATCTTAATTTATAATAATAATAATCTGTTTAGTACTGCAAAAAAAAAGAGGAACAAATTTAAGGAAGCATAATTTCTGCTCAATTCTTCCTCAAAGCAGTTCAATGCAAAGTTGGTCTCTTTTTATTATTTATATTTCTCGATCTTTCTCCTCCCTTACATTCCATTCCTTGTCACATTATCCAGAAATGGAATAAAGTTCACCGGAAGTATTATTTAAAAAGTTTGCCTCACAAACCGAGAAGGGAAACTAACAGAATAACAGAATTGGAAGGGACCTTGGAGGTCTTCTAGTCCAACCCCCTGCTCAAGCAGGAGACCCTATACATTTCAGACAAATCCAGTGACGGAGCACCCACAATTTCTGAAGGCAAGCCGTTCCACCAATGAATTTTTCTAACGGTGAGGAAATTCCTCCTTAGTTCTAGGTTGCTTCTCTCCTTGATTAGTTTCCATCCGTTGCTTCTTGTCCTGCCTTCAGATGCTTTGGAGAACAGCTTGACTCCCTCTTCTTTGTGGCAGCCCCTCAGATAGTGGAAGACTGCTATCATGTCACCCCTAGTCCTTCTTTTCGTTAAACTGGACATACCCAATTCCTGCAACTGTTCTTCATATGTTTTAGCCTCCAGTCCCCTAATCATCTTTGTTGCTTTTTTCTGCACTCTTTCTAGAGTCTCTACATCTTTTTCATGATATGGTGACTAAAACTGGATGCTAAGGCTTTATGAAGCAGCATTCATACGTCACATGATCTTGATTCTATCCCTCTGTTAAATTAGCTTGTTTAAATTTCACTGCAATAGATATCAGCTGCAGAGATGACACATATTATCATTAAACAAAAATGCAAGTGGAAGCTTTAAGACTCATTTGGTGAGTCTCATGTGGTGTAGTATAAGAATAGAAAATCATATGATTGTAGCTGCTTGTTGCAATTCTTAACCACACAAGTTAAAGGTAAAAATTGTGAAAGTGCCATAGTGTTAAATGACTTTGGGTTAGAGGAAATACAGTTGCACAACAGTTTAAGGCTTTAACAAAACAATCTTTGTATTTGTTCTAATCCAAAGCCAAATATATAATGCATTTGTTATTTAATGTATTTCTATCCAACCACAATTAAAAAGAACATTTTTGATGACTTACATAAAATAAAAATGATATAGCAATATAAAAGTGAGAAATTTGTTCCAGTGCAGTAATTTATATTTTCTTCTAATTTTCTCTTACTCTGCAATCTTTTCCGTATAATATCTGAATTTTGTAATTTCTATTCATTTTTTCCTCTCTCCCTTTCCTTTTAAAAGAAATACATTAATTAAAAATTTTTTTTAGAACAATTGGGTATTTATTTTTAATGACCAAACTTTATGGAGGGTCACGTATATAAAAGTTGGAAAGAAAGATTCCAAAAAACAAATGTTTGCAATACAATTGATTTACAATACTATGGTTTGGCTACTAAATGCATGTACAGACAGTCCTCAACTTACAACTATTTCTTTAACAACCATTTGAAGCTACAATCTAAAAAAAGAGACTTACAACTGGTTCTCGCACTTATGACTATCACAGCATCCTCACAGTCATGTGATCAAAATTTGGGCGCTTGGCAACTGGCAGGTATTTAGAACAGTTGTACTGTCCTGAGGTCATGTGATCTCCAATTGCAACTTCCCAGCTGGCTTCCGACAAGCAAAGTCAATGGGGGAAGCTGGATTCATTTAACAACCGCATGATTCATTTAACAACTGCAATGATTCCCTTAACAACATGGCAAAAAGGTTGTAAAATTCGGTGCTTCACTTAGCCATAGAAATTCTCATCCCAATTGTGGGCATAAATCAAGGACTACCTATATCTCAAAATGAACTGTTTCCTACGCTACTTGCCAATACTTTTTATGCTTGCCGGGGTCTTTTTTATTTTTATTTTTTTGTACCTGCCCATTCTCGATAAAATCCACATCAATTGTAATCTTGCGTAAATACTCTCCAAAAGCAAAATCCATATTCCGACCGTGATATATATTTCCTTGTTTGTCTTGAGCAACAATACTGGTGCAGAAGCTGTGAAAGAAAAAGAATAGCAGCTGTGTTAGAAAAGGCTGGACTTCTAAATTCATTTTTCCCAGGGTGTCTTTTTAAATGAAGGAAGGTGAATATACATGTCCCGGGATAATGTTGCAGGATCCAATTGGGGTCAGTTACTGGGACCAAAGGTTTTGTCTTCCAAGGTTTTGGACTCGTGCGGGGAACCCATCTTCAGGGAATTTCTCTCTAGCAAAGTGTGTGCTATTTTCTCTGTGGTATTTATATGGAAATAAATACCTGGCAGGTTGAACAATTAATCAGTGGAACCACCTGCCTCCAGAAATTGTGAATGCGCCAACACTGGAAGTTTTTAAGAAGATATTGGACAAACATTAGTCTGAAATGGTATAGGTCTCCTGCCTGAGCAGGGTGTTGGACTAGAAGACCTCTACGGTCCCTTCCAACTCTGTTTATCCTGTCCTATCCTATCCTATCCTATCCTATCCTCTCTTCTCCTCTCCTCTTCTCTCCTCTCCTCTCCTCTCCTATTCATGGACCACACATATAAATATCACACACAGAACAGCACACCCTCTGCTAGAGCAGAGGTCCCCATCCTGTGGCCCATGGCCTGGTAGGGGGCCAGGCCTGCTGCCTACCGGGCCACGGGACAGGCTGGCCAGTGCATGCGCGTGTGTGCGCATACCACCTCACGTGTGGTAGTGCCACGGCCATGGGGCGCAAAAACAGGACACTGCGCCACGGGGCACAAAAACAGGCCGCCGATGCGCCTCGGGGCATGAAAATGGGACACCGCTATACCTCAGGGTGCAAAAACGGGACGCCACCATGCCGCGGGGTGAAAAAATGGGTGCCGCCACACCGCCTGGTGCAAACGTGGGCCGCCGCAGCGCTGCAAGGCACAAAAATGGAGGCTGCCGGGCCACGGGGCACAAAAACGGGCTGCTGCCACGCTGCAAGGCGCAAAAACAGCCACCACTGTGCTGTAGGGCGCAGAAACAAGGTACTGTGCCACGTAAGAACGGGGCAGGGCTAGCAAGTATCACACGGGTGCTAGCCCCGCCCCATTTGTGGCACACGCGTTCTCACGGCCCCGTGCGCATGTGCATGCAGGCACGTACAATGCTTCCCTCTCCCTTTTCCTCCGGTCCGCCAACTGACAAAGGTTGGTGACCTCTGTACTAGAAAGAAGTTCCCTGAAGATGAGCTGAAAGCTTAGAGGACAAAACCTCTGATCCTGATGGCCAAACTAGACTGGATCCTGACTTTTTAAATTTTAAATTCATTTTCCCAGGGTGCCTGGTTCCTTCCCACAATATTCTTAGACCAAAAACAGCATAAGAGAAACGAATTAAGATCTTCCAGTTAATTAAGAACTAATTACGTCTCTGGACTGATTAGATGAGGGATGACCAACCTTGGCAACTTGTAAGACTGGTGGACTTCAACTCCCAGAATTCCCCAGCCAGCTGTGCTGAATTCTGGGAGTTGAAGTCCACCACTCTTAAAGTGGCCAAGGTTGGACCCTGCTGGATTGAGACTCTGGAAAACCTACAAGGCAGAAAACAACCTGAAACAACCTAACAAAGAAAAAGAACGATGCCCATTTAGAAGGAAATAAAACCTCCAAATCTTATTTATTTATTTATTTATTTATTTATTTATTTATTAATTGCATTTATATCCCGCCCTTCTCCTTTCGGACTCAGGGCGGCTGACAAATGATAAAAAACTAACATACATACACCTAGTTAAAATTTAATTATGAATTAATAATCTTAGCGGATGGTTACCACCCACTTGAGCCCCCAAGGCGCGTGGGAAAACCAAGTTTTTAAAGACTTTTAGGGCTGACTCAATCTTCATTGTTCCAGACAGCAGAAAGTCCTGGATCTCATCAGATGACATTGTCCCGTCGATGTATTGTTGATGTCCACACATTTTGTTTAGAGCAGTGGTTCTCAACCTTTTTAATGCCGCGACCCCAACCGGTCGTAAGTCGAGGACTAAACCAGTCGTAAGTCGAGGACTAAACCGGTCGTAAGACGAGGACTAAACCGGTCGTAAGTCGAGGACTACCCAACCGGTCATAAGTCGAGGACTTTCCCTGCCCGGGAGCGCCACACATGCGTGGTTCCGCCCCCTGCGCCGGCCGAGGCGTAACTGGCAAGCGGCAGAGATGGAGCAGGCCGACTACCAGCTGGCCCAGCCCAAGGGCCATGGCACCCGCCGGAAAAGGGGGAAAAATGGCGGACAAAAAAAAATGGCGGACAAAAAAATGGCGGACAGCCTTGCTTGGCGACCCCCGTGAAATGGTCGATCGACCCCAAATGGGGTCCCGACCCACAGGTTGAGAACCACTGGTTTAGAGAAAGGAGAAAACTTATTTAGAAGCCGACAGCAAGCAGGCATCGCTTGCTCTGGGCCAACAGCTTCCCCTGGCCATCTTTTTCCTTACAAAATTTTGCTAAGGAAAGACAGCCTGATCTTTGCAACAAGCCCGTGCCATGATGAATTCCCCCCCCCCACACACACTTCCAGTTCCTGAGACCCACAATGCATTGCAACACTCACGCGGTGAATTCGTAGGCCAGATTCAGCAGGAGCACATCACCAACGCTAATCCCGAAGTATTTGGAAAGTCCCCGAATTTCTCCTTCATAAGGCTGGGAGATGAATTTTTCTATTTCTTCCGCCATAGGTCGAATAATGGCATGGACCCATTTGGGGATCACTGAACTGGAAGAAAAAAGAGACTCTGGATCATTCATTGCTCAACTAACACGTTTTATTCTACATTCCTTTTATAGTCAAGCTACTCTCCAAAGCGCCTGAAGGCAGGACAAGAAGCAACGGGTGGAAACTAATCAAGGAGAGAAGCAACCTGGAACTAAGGAGAAACTTCCTGATAGTGAGAACAATTAACCAGTGGAACAACCTGCCTCCAGAAGCAGTGAATGCTCCAACACTGGAAGTTTTTAAGAAGAGACTGGACAGCCATTTGTCTGAAATGGTATAGGGTTTCCTGCCTGAGCAGGGGGTTGGACTAGATGACCTCCAAGGTCCCTTCCAACATTATTATTATTGTTGTTGTTGTTGCTGCTGCTGCTACTACTACTACCACTATTGATCATCGCACAGATGTCCAGTCAGCCAGATGTTCAGACTGGATTTGGCATTTTTGTCTACCTATCGAGTCCTTACCAAGGACCTGGGATAGGCAGATGTGGATGTTTGATGGTATTACAGATATCGTCGCAGGATGGAAGCAGTTCCTAGTAAGGCCGCCTTTTGCAATTGACTAATGGCGAATTTGTCAATGCCAATGGTGTCCAAGTGGTGCTCCAGTTGTTTTGGGATTGCACCCAAGGCGCCTATTACTATTGGTATTACCCTTGCTTGCCTTTGCCACAGTCTTTCTATTTCTATTTGTAGGTCTCTGTATTTTGTTATCTTCTCCAGTTCTTTCTCGTCTATTCTGCTGTCTCCAGGCACTGCCACGTCCACTATCTAGACTTTTTTGTCATCATCATCTATAGATTACATAGAGGAATAAAAGCAAACTAACCTAGGGGGAAACATTTGCTAACTCTTTTTGTATGGCCCCCTCTCCTCAAATAACCGACCACCTCACACTTGCTGAGTCCAGACATTTGTTTCCACCAACAGACTAAAAGCCATAGCAATTTAAGCCAAAGCAGCAAGACATTGGAAGGTCTTTTTGTAATTTTCCTGCAAAGTACAGGTAGTTCTCGATTTACAACGGCGTCAAAAAAGTGACTTATCACCGTTTTTCACGCATACGCTCGTTGCAGCATTCCCGCATGGTCACGTGATCAAAAGACAGACCCTTGGCAACTGACCTGCATTTATGACAGCTGCACTGTCCCGGGATCATGTGATCACCATTTGCGATCTTCCCAGCCAGATTCTGATAAGACGCCAGATTCGCTTCACAAATGAATAATTTACTTAAGAACCGCAGTGATTCGCTTAACGACCGTGGCCAATAAAGATGGTAAAATCGGGTTCTGCTCTCTTAACAATCACTTTGCTTATCAGTGGAAATTCTGATGCAATTGTGGTCGAGGACTACCTGCAACGGCTACCTAAAGCAGTCAACACAGCCACACAAACAACCCCAATTTCTGACCAGTTCAATCCCATCCAATTTTCCTGCCAGGAAATGGAATTTTACCCTAAACTCCCTCTCTTTGTCTGAAATGGTATAGGGTTTCCTGCCTGAGCAGGGGGCTGGACTAGATGACCTCCAAGGTCCCTTCTCACTCTCAAGTTATTCTATTCTATTCTATTCTATTCTATTCTATTCTATTCTCATTCCATTCCATTCTATTCTATTCCACTCTATTCTATTCTACTCTACTCTATTCTCATTCCATTCCATTCTAATTCCATTCTATTCCATTCTATTCTATTCCACTCTATTCCATTCTATTCTATTCTATTCTATTCTACTCTATTCTCATTCCATTCCATTCTAATTCCATTCTATTATATTCCACTCTATTCCATTCTATTCCACTCTACTCTACTCTATCCTATCCTATCCTATCCCTATATTCTATTCTATTCTATTCTATTCTATTCTATTCTATTCTATTCTATTCCATTCCATTCTATTCCACTCTACTCTATTCTACTCTACTCTACTCTACTCTACTCTACTCTACTCTACTCTACTCTACTCTACTCTATCCTATCCCTATATTCTATTCTATTCCATTCTATTCCACTCTTTTCTACTCTACTAAAGGTCTCTCAAGTTCACCCAGCCAAGAGAAATATACACTGAGCTGGAACACTTTGTTCCAGCTCAGGTGAAGTTGGCTCCAGTTTGAGAAGTTCAGTCTGAAACACAAACAAACAGGGAGGATGGGAAAGAAAGAACTAGTTCCTCCGCCTGGTTCACCGTTTTGCTCAGCTGGGAAGAACCTAACATAGAACAACAGAACTGGAAGGGACCTTTGAGGTCATCTGGTCCAACCCCCTGCTCGAGCAGGAAACCCTATACCGTTTCGGACAGGTGGGCTGTCCAGTCTCTTCTTAAAAACCTCCAGTGATGGAGCACCCACAACTTCTGGTGGCAAGCAGTTCCACTGGATAAATGTTCTCACTGTTAGGAAGTTTCTCCTTAATTCCAGGTTGCTGCTCTCCTTCATCTTCTGAAGGCAAGGAAGAGAGTCTTCCCTTTAGCAAACAAGGAAGCCAGCCAGGACACAAACAGCCCGAAGCAAAGGCAGAGACAGGCAAAAATGAATCAGAATAGAGCTTGGAGGCACCTGGAGTCTTCTGGTCCAGCCCCTTTCTCAAGCAGGAGACAATCCTGGAGGATTCGGGACAGTCTCGGTCCACTTTCCCCCACTTTCCCTTCCAAAGACCCTTCCGCGCTTTCCCTTCCCAAGACCCTCCCCCACTTTCCCTTTTCCCTTCCAAAGACCCTCCCTCCCTTTCCCCTTTCCCTTCCAAAGACCCTCCCCCACTTTCCCTTTTCCCTTCCAAAGACCCTCCCTCCCTTTCCCCTTTCCCTTCCAAAGACCCTCCCCCACTTTCCCTTTTCCCTTCCAAAGACCCTCCCTCNCAACTAACACGTTTTATTCTACATTCCTTTTATAGTCAAGCTACTCTCCAAAGCGCCTGAAGGCAGGACAAGAAGCAACGGGTGGAAACTAATCAAGGAGAGAAGCAACCTGGAACTAAGGAGAAACTTCCTGATAGTGAGAACAATTAACCAGTGGAACAACCTGCCTCCAGAAGCAGTGAATGCTCCAACACTGGAATTTTTTAAGAAGAGACTGGACAGCCATTTGTCTGAAATGGTATAGGGTTTCCTGCCTGAGCAGGGGGTTGGACTAGATGACCTCCAAGGTCCCTTCCAACATTATTATTATTGTTGTTGTTGTTGTTGCTGCTGCTGCTGCTGCTACTACTACTACCACTATTGATCATCGCACAGATGTCCAGTCAGCCAGATGTTCAGACTGGATTTGGCATTTTTGTCTACCTATCGAGTCCTTACCAAGGACCTGGGATAGGCAGATGTGGATGTTTGATGGTATTACAGATATCGTCGCAGGATGGAAGCAGTTCCTAGTAAGGCCGCCTTTTGCAATTGACTAATGGCGAATTTGTCAGTGCCAATGGTGTTCAAGTGGTGCTCCAGTTGTTTTGGGATTGCACCCAAGGCACCTATTACTATTGGTATTACCCTTGCTTGCCTTTGCCACAGTCTTTCTATTTCTATTTGTAGGTCTCTGTATTTTGTTATCTTCTCCAGTTCTTTCTCGTCTATTCTGCTGTCTCCAGGCACTGCCACGTCCACTATCCAGACTTTTTTGTCATCATCATCTATAGATTACATAGAGGAATAAAAGCAAACTAACCTAGGGGAAAACATTTGCTAACTCTTTTTGTATGGCCCCCACTCCTCAAATAACCGACCACCTCACACTTGCTGAGTCCAGACATTTGTTTCCACCAACAGACTAAAAGCCATAGCAATTTAAGCCAAAGCAGCAAGACATTGGAAGGTCTTTTTGTAATTTTCCTTGTACAGGTAGTTCTCGATTTACAACGGCGTCAAAAAAGTGACTTATCACCGTTTTTCACGCATACGCTCGTTGCAGCATTCCCGCATGGTCACGTGATCAAAAGACAGACCTTTGGCAACTGACCTGCATTTATGACAGCTGCACTGTCCCGGGATCATGTGATCACCATTTGCGATCTTCCCAGCCAGATTCTGATAAGACGCCAGATTCGCTTCACAAATGAATAATTTACTTAAGAACCGCAGTGATTCGCTTAACGACCGTGGCCAATAAAGATGGTAAAATCGGGTTCTGCTCCCTTAACAATCACTTTGCTTATCAGTGGAAATTCTGATGCAATTGTGGTCGAGGACTACCTGCAACGGCTACCTAAAGCAGTCAACACAGCCACACAAACAACCCCAATTTCTGACCAGTTCAATCCCATCCAATTTTCCTGCCAGGAAATGGAATTTTACCCTAAACTCCCTCTCTTTGTCTGAAACGGTATAGGGTTTCCTGCCTGAGCAGGGGGCTGGACTAGATGACCTCCAAGGTCCCTTCTCACTCTCAAGTTATTCTATTCTATTCTATTCTATTCTATTCTCATTCCATTCCATTCCATTCTATTCTATTCCACTCTATTCTATTCTACTCTACTCTATTCTCATTCCATTCCATTCTAATTCCATTCTATTCCATTCTATTCTATTCTATTCTACTCTATTCTCATTCCATTCCATTCTAATTCCATTCTATTATATTCCACTCTATTCCATTCTATTCCACTCTACTCTACTCTACCCTATCCTATCCCTATATTCTATTCTATTCTATTCTATTCTATTCTATTCTATTCTATTCCATTCTATTCCACTCTACTCTACTCTACTCTATTCTACTCTACTCTACTCTACTCTACTCTATCCTATCCCTATATTCTATTCTATTCCATTCTATTCCACTCTTTTCTACTCTACTAAAGGTCTCTCAAGTTCACCCAGCCAAGAGAAATATACACTGAGCTGGAACACTTTGTTCCAGCTCAGGTGAAGTTGGCTCCAGTTTGAGAAGTTCAGTCTGAAACACAAACAAACAGGGAGGATGGGAAGGAAAGAACTAGTTCCTCCGCCTGGTTCACCGTTTTGCTCAGCTGGGAAGAACCTAACATAGAACAACAGAACTGGAAGGGACCTTTGAGGTCATCTGGTCCAACCCCCTGCTCGAGCAGGAAACCCTATACCGTTTCGGACAGGTGGGCTGTCCAGTCTCTTCTTAAAAACCTCCAGTGATGGGGCACCCACAACTTCTGGTGGCAAGCAGTTCCACTGAATAAATGTTCTCACTGTTAGGAAGTTTCTCCTTAATCCCAGGTTGCTACTCTCCTTCATCTTCTGAAGGCAAGGAAGAGAGTCTTCCCTTTAGCAAACAAGGAAGCCAGCCAGGACATAAACAGCCCGAAGCAAAGGCAGAGACAGGCAAAAATGAATCAGAATAGAGCTTGGAGGCACCTGGAGTCTTCTGGTCCAGCCCCTTTCTCAAGCAGGAGACAATCCTGGAGGATTCGGGACAGTCTCGGTCCACTTTCCCCCACTTTCCCTTTCAAAGACCCTTCCGTGCTTTCCCTTCCAAAGACCCTCCCTCACTTTCCCTTTTCCCTTTCAAAGACTCTCCCTCACTTCCCCTTTTTCCTTTCAAAGACCTTCCCTCACTTTCCCTTTTCAAGACCCTCCCGTACTTTCCCTTCCAAAGACCCTCCCCCTTTCCCTTCCAAAGACCCTCCCGCACTTTCCCTTCCAAAGACCCTTCCTCACTTTCCCTTTTCCCTTCCAAAGACCCTCCCTCACTTTCCCTTTTCCCTTTCCAAGACCCTCCCGCACTTTCCCTTNGACTGAACACGGCGCGCATGAACACCGGCTCGAAGTGCCGGGCGGCCGGGCCCCAGCGGAGCTCGGGAGGGCTGTCCAGGCTGACGTTGCAGCGCAAAGGGGCCACTCGGGACCGGGGCCCCCCCGCCCCGCCGCGGGGCAGCGCCAGCAGGAGCAGCCCCAGAAGGAGCGCCAGGAAGGAGCCGGAGCCCCCGCGCCCCTGCCCGGCCATGGACGCAGCTGCAGGAGGCGGCGGGCACTCGCCGGTCGCCTCCGCTTTCCACGGCCGGCCCCGCCGCTTGGATTGGCTGCCCCGCCGCCTCTCCACGCCCGCCTTTTTCCGCCCGGACATCTGGGCGCGGCTGGCAAAGGGGATCCCCGGGGCGAAGGGCGCAACTCCGGGGAAAGGCGTTTTCGCCGGGCGGGCGAGCAAACTTCAGACGGCGGGAAGCGAGGCCTTCGCTCGGATTAAAGCTGGAAGGGAACCTGGGAGGTCGTCTAGTCCAGGGCTTTTCAACCTTTTCACTCATTGTGCCGCTTTTAGGATAGGGCAACATCCGAGTGCCACCAGCAAGGTGTCAAAAACTTGATGACCAAAAAAAAAAAAAAAAGGGAAAAAGTGATGAAGTACAGGTAGTCCTCGACTTACAACAGTTCGCTTAGTGACTGTTTGAAGGTACAATGGCACTGGAAAAAGTGCCCCCCAAGCTACAGCCGAGCAAGACATCTGTCTGCCCACCCAGCGGCGCTCTTCCTCCTTAAAACCAGAGAAACGAAGGAATATCTTTGTTTAGAGCAGTGGTTCTCAACCTGTGGGTCGGGACCCCATTTGGGGTCGATCGACCATTTCATGGGGGTCGCCAAGCAAGGCTGTCCGCCATTTTTTTGTCTGCCATTTTTTTTGTCCGCCATTTTTTCCCCCTTTTCTGGCGGGTGCCTTACCTCCCTTGGGCTGGGCCAGCTGGTGGTCGGCCTGCTCCGTCTCTGCCGCTTGCCAGCTACGCCTCGGCCGGCGCAGGGGGCGCGGCGCTCCTGGGCAGGGAAAGTCCTCGACTTACGACCGGTTGGGTAGTCCTCAACTTACGACCGGTTTAGTCCTCGACTTACGACTGGTTTAGTCCTCGACTTACGACCGGTTGGGGTCGCGGCATTAAAAAGGTTGAGAACCACTGGTTTAGAGCAGGGGTCTGCAACCTTGACAACGTTTTAAGACTTGTGGACTTCAGTTCCCAGAATTCCTCAGCCAGCATAGTTTAAAGTTGTCAAGGTTGCAGATCCCTGCTCTAGAGGCTTTACATCAAAAGAACAATCAAAACCATATATCACAGGGCTTTTCAACCTTTTCACCCATTGGACCACTTTTAGGATATGGCAACATCCGAGTACCACCAGTCGCCTAGCAAGGTGTCAAAAACTTGATGACCAAAAAAAAAAAAAAAAAAAGGAAAAAGTGATGAAGTACAGGTAGTCCTCGACTTACAACAGTTCGCTTAGTGACTGTTCGAAGTTACAATGGCACTGAAAAAAGTGCCCCCCAAGCCACAGCCGAGCAAGACACCTGCCTGCCCACCCAGCGGCGCTCTTCCTCCTGTCTGAGGTTTCCATTGTTGTGAGCATTTCTGTTGAGGATTGGCAGCGGGGGTGGGGGTGGGGGGTGATTGGTTTTTATTCCCCCCCCCCGTCTGCTGGGTGGTTGCAGCAGGTTTTGGTCACTTCACGTGACCCTGGGACACTGTGACCGTCATAAATATGAATCAGTTGCCAAGCATTTGAATGTAAATCACAAGACCCTGGAGAGGCTGCAACAGTCCAGCTGATCGGCGCTTCTTCTGGGCTCAGCAGAAGCACCAGGATCAGCGCCGAGCAACAGCTGGAGCCTGGCGCTGATCCTGGCGCTTCCACTGAACCCTGACAGCCCCGAAGAAGCGCCGATCAGCTGGAAAGCGGCACTGATCCTGGCGCTTCCGCTGAGCCCTGACAGCCCTGCAGCTCCAGCCGTCTCTCGCTCCGGCTTCTGCAGTGCTGCCACCGTTCAGCTCATTCCCCCTCCCCTGCTACCACTTTTCTAGGATGGTCGCGTACCACCTGCCAGGTGCCAATGTACCACAGGTGCTACCCGTACCACTGGTTGAAAAGCCCTGGTCTAGTCCAGTGGTTCTTAAACCTTTTTGAATGAATCGCCCCCTTGAGCCAATGAGGGAGTTGTCCTCGCCACCCTCCCCCGACATAACCTCTCAATCACAAAATAGGAAAGAATTGTTCAATTTATGCAAACACTTTTTTTGTTTGTTTTCTTTAAAATTGTCATCAGGACATATCGATGCAAATAATTTATTTCCAGTCTTTTCCCCATATCTCCCATATTCTGGCCAATGGCGCGCCACTGTATGGGTAGAGGCCGCTCCGCAACGCGCATGAAGATAAGCGATGTGTATTCACATATGTACGGCGTTCTGTACTGAAGCTAACTGGAGGAACATTTGAAAACACAATTCAATCCACTAATAGCGAGCGATCTGATGTTTTTGTACGACAGATATGCAGCGATTCACTGTACGAAAAAGTCTCAAAAGTGTCCCCAAAACTTCTTGCTCCATCGCCCCATATCACCCCCTTTTCGTTCCATCGCCCCCCTGAAAAACGAAATCGCGTCCAGGGGGGCAATATCACCCAGGTTAAGAACCACTGCATTACAGCATTAGTTTTGAGGTGGTCAAAGACCTAATGAGAATATATTTTATTGGCATAGGAAGACCATAAGTTGGAATGTCATAAAGGATATTTTCTCTGACCTAAGGCTTATTATCTTTTTAATTAAATCTTAATCGGGAGAGTACAAAATAGGTCATTAAAAAAATGATGTATTAATGTTATAGTGGTGTCATGCCTGAACTTGTTTTCTAACAAATTAAAATTGGGAGCGTGAATGTTACTATGCTAACTTACAAAGTCATTCCAATAGAAGCTAAGTTGTTCGCTGTTGCTTATTGAATTTTAATACTTTGGATGCAACTAACATGAGGATGTCATAACCTATTAAGCAAAATAAAGCTGTGACAGTGGTAAAAATAAAGCATCTTTATTTATCATTAATAGCCTATATAAAATGAGATGCTTAGTGTATGTGTGGAGAAGCTGAAAACTAAAGTCCTATGAGAACAAAAAATAACATCACTAACCAATTTTTGTTGTTGTTGTTGTTAATTGCGAAGTTGTGTCCAACTCATTGTGACCCCATGGACAATGTTCCTCCAGGCCTTCCTGTCCTCTACCATCTTCTGGAGTCCATTTAAGTTCACGCCTACTGCTTCAGTGATTCCATCCAGCCATCTCATTCTCTGTCGTCCCCTTCTTCTATTGTCCTCAATCTTTCCCAGCATTAGGCTCTTCTCCAGGGAGTCCTTCCTTCTCATTAGGTGGCCAAAGTACTTGAGTTTCAACTTCAGGATCTGGCCTTCTAAAGAGCAATCGGGGTTGATCTCCTCTAGGACTGACCGGTTGGATCGCCTTGCAGTCCATTCTTTGGCGCTCAGCCTTTCTTATGGTCCAACTTTCACAGCCATACATTGCAACTGGGAAAACCATGGCCTTGACTCTATGTACTTTTGTTGGCAGGGTGATGTCTCTGCTTTTTAGTATGCTGTCTAGATTTGCCATAGCTTTCCTCCCCAGGAGCAAGCGTCTTTTAATTTCTTGGCTGCAGTCCCCATCTGTGGTGATCTTGGAGCCCAGGAAGATAAAATCTGTCACTACTCCATTTCTTCCCCATCTATTTGCCAGGAATTGAGAGGGCCGGATGCCATGATCTTGGTTTTCTTAATGTTGAGTTTCAAGCCCACTTTTGCACTCTCCTTCTTCACCCGTATCAAGAGGCTCTTTAGTTCCTCTTCACTTTCTGCCATTAGAGTGGTATCATCTGCATACCTTAGGTTGTTGATATTTCTCCCGGCAATCTTAATTCCAACTTTTGATTTATCTAGCCCTGACTTTCTCATGATGTGCTCTGCATATAAGTTAAATAGACAGGGCGACAGTATACAGCCTTGCCGGACTCCTTTCCCAATTTTGAACCAATCAGTGGTTCCGTGTCCAGTTCTCACTGTTGCTTCTTGGCCCGCATATAGGTTTCTCAAGAGACAAATAAGATGGTCTGGTACTCCCATCTCTTTAAGAACTTGCCACCATTTGTTGTGATCCACACAATCAAAGGCTTTAGCATAGCCAATGAAGCAGAAGTAGATGTTTTTCTGGAACCATCTTTTACTAGCAGCTAATTGCAGCTTCTTTGAAACAAGTAAAATATATTTTCTAAATGTACCCAAAGTCACAACAATGATTTAGCTGCAATATTCTGTCATAACTGCAGCTTTCGTTCAACTTAACTCAAAATAAATTTAGAATAATCTAAATGGGGGGGGGGGGTTGGCAGTCCATGGACTAGTGTTGATGTTATCCATGTCCTGGATTAATCACATGTGATAAGCCAACTAAAGAACTCCAAAGCAAGAGAGGCTGACTGATTGAACCTCAAGTGATACAGATGAATCTAGCACTTCCAAACTCTGTACTTCTTTGTGCAGACAATATTGAACAGCCCTGCTGTCAACAAGTTAGAAGGACATCCACATGTGGAGCCCAGCTATCCACATTCTAGAGGTCTTTGCACGAAAGCAATGAGTTAATAGGACAAGATTTGAGATCGTGTAAATTATGTACTTCCCCAGCTATAGGCCTAGCCTATAGGCAACCTTGGCTCTTTTATGATTCGTGGACTTCAACTCCCAGAATTCCTGAGCCAGCCATGCTGAGGGGAAAGGGAGAGTTTCCAAGGTGAGCCATGCTGGCTCAGAAATTCTGGGAGTTGAAGTCCATGAGTCGTAAAAGAGCCAAGGCTGCCTACCTCTGGCCTAGGCCTAGGCCGCTTTATGACTCATGGACTTCAACTCCCAGAATTCCTGAGCCAGCATGGCTCAGCTTGGAAAATCTCCCTTTCCCCTCAGCATGGCTGGCTCAGGAATTCTGGGAGTTGAAGTCCACGAGTCATAAAAGAGCCAAGGTTGCCTACCCCTGGCCTAGGCAAAGTAGGTATTGGCCCAGGGCACCAACGTTTAGGAGGTGCCAATGCTGTCCCTCCTTCTGAGTTGTTCTAAAAATGCAAATCTTCATGTCAGTGGGACAGTGCTCTGCAACTGTGTATGTGAAGGTATCTACATTAAGCAAGCATAACATATA